CGTAACCGCAGGATCGAATCTTACCGGCCTTGTCTCTCTTCAGCGACATATCGGAGAACAGTGTTTGTATAATTCGTCCTTTAAAAACAAAAGCGCGTGCGTGACACACGTGTGCAACGCTAGTAGGGCACGTGTCGAGTTACCCGAGCGAGCGCACAGACGGGCTCAACCCGAGTCTCAGCGGTCAGATCCGACCCTGGACGGAATCCCGAATCGCGGGGCCGCGTCTAGATGAAGTACCGGCCGAGTATCAGGGAGAGACCGGCAAGGTGGATCGGCTCTCTCTCGCGTACGTGCGCTGCGCTACGCAGACGCTGAGCGTGGACGTTGAACGGGCGAGGACAGACCCTTTCTTTCGAGGACTCGTTCGTTCTGCCGGCGGCTCGACTCGCCGGGGCAATGCCCGGTCAAAGTCCCACCTCGACGTCCGCCAGTTCTGCCCCCCCTCGTGCCCCCGTCGCCCCCGCGAACGTGAGGCCGCCGCGTACTCTTCGCGGCGGGTTGCAGCGGTCACCCTTGGCGTCTTCCTCTTACAGCTTCGCCGTCTTCCACAGTGTGCTGCGATGTCCGAACTTCTTCTTGCGCCAAGCGACGGCCCGTGAGGGACCGTCAAAACGCGCCGGAGACGGTGGTGCGCTCACCGGCGCGGCCTATCGCGCGAACATCTCGAACTCCGGTTCTGAGCGCCGGCTCGGAGTAAACCCGTGTTGGTCAATCGGAATTTATCATCGCCACACGAAGAGAAGGAGAAGAGATTTCTCGGAAGAAGTAATAAGAAATCTCTAAAGGAGGAGTAAGAGAAGGAATTTAACATCTTGATCGCCGCATCGATCGCGCGAAAATACACGGGAACAAATTTGATCTCATTAACGGAAAATGGGACAACCGGATGCGTTTCGGTTGAAGGTAACAGAATTTCTAACTCTGTACGAGCCAGATGTGGCTCTTACAACGAGAAATTCGGTTGCCTTCAATCAAAATGCATCTGATTGTTCCCTCTTTCTGGTTAATACAACCAGAGCTTTTTTTTCCGTGTACTTAATTGATGAGCAAGTTGACAAAGACACGGTAAATCGTAATCCGAGACACGTATGTCTCTTTTACTTCGTTGGCTCTCTATTGGCTGTACAATCGATTTTTCTCGTTCAATTAACTGTTCAATTCAATTTAATATGTCCGCTACCAATGTCACATATGCGATCATTTTATTCCTACAACCGCATAAATGAATAAAGTTCGTTTCACTCGATCGCAAGAAAATTAATACAGTGTGCTTTATGTGGGAAGAGTTCCTCGAATAAATCACCGTAGCGAACGCATTAATGTAGTGGATATGTTAATGGGATAGGAGAGGTTTCAACAGAAAACTGACTCAATCGAAGAAAAATCAAAGAAAAGCGTTTAATGTATTGTACACACTTCCGAGCCTCGTCGTGTCTCGTTTCAATCTGTTGATTTCTCATTTTCACGCCGCTCACGTTCTTCACACTGTTTGTGCGCACTTGTTTTTTTCTCGATCTCCGCCGAAATTTATCGATATATCGCTACTGTTATTTTTATAACATTACAATATTCACACGTCTTAAACTATTCAGGTAGGTGCGAAGGATATAGAAAAAACTAAAACTTAATTAATTCTACATTAATGAGACGCGGCGGGTAGTAACCAACGACCGTCACGATATTCAACGCGTCGATTTAATTTCTGCTCTCGGCAATCGTGGGACAGCGGTCCAATACTGTTTTCTTTTATTTCCTTCCTTTTTTCCAATAAGACGATCTCTCTCCATTCGTTGTAAAATCCACCGGTCGCACCTGTTCCGTACGCGCGTTTACCGTTACATGCAGAGTTACATGCGTCCGGGTGACGAAAACGACTTTGATTCGCGTCCCGTGATTACGATCGCACGATCGAACGTTAAAATTGACTCAATTGTGAGGTGCTCCAGCACAAAAGATGACAGATCACGTACGTCATATTGCGGTGTCATGATAAGACGCGACGTGATGAAAACCCACCGAAGATTTCTCGCGTTCGCGTGACTCAAAGTCCACACTGGAATTCTCGAAACGATTAGCGAGCCGGGGCTCTCACCGTGCTGCAAATCATCGTAGCTCTGGGAACAGGACAGAACTTTCAAGTTGGCGTTTCCGAGAGCGAGCTGCGGGATTAGTAACCGACACCACGCGGACAACACGTTATAACACGCGAGAGCGTACACGACTCGAGTTGCCGGCGCTTTTGTACTATCACGTGCACCATATTCTACTCATCGTATCATATCGTTCCTATGATTCGCCGACTAACAGCTGGATTTGCAACTGGAGCCGGCTGGCGGCTCTACTAAGAACTGGGCGAAGTGATCGCCTTTTTAACGTTTCAATTGACGAAGGGGATTCCAAGCGACATGATGTCATTGTCATTATCATGCGGATTATTCGTCTCTCTCTCTCTCTCTCTCTGTCTCTCTCTCTCGGCGAATAATTAAAAGATAATTATTTATTCGCAAGGACAGCATAATTTCCGCGAGAACGTCTTATATCTATTTGCCGCTTTAACTAATACTTCAATCAGTATCGAATGAGTAAACACGCCGAGAGCGCGAGCGGGTGTAAGAGAGCCTTCGAGATTAATTTTCCACTATCCTCCGGCCGCTATTTCTCTTTGTCTCTCTAAATTTAGACCATCGTTGTTTACTCGCGTCACGTTTCACCGCCGTATATGAGAGTATGTTAATTCGTCCCGCAGTGACGGACGATTTACTCGAGGCGCCAACTCTACCGAGTTTCGAATGCTTGTGACCAAATTTCTACAGATTCTATCCAAAAATCCAGAAAGGTCCTTTAATTAAATCACAGACGGAAAAGAGTGATTAGCTGTCCATATAATATAACTAAAATTTAATTACCAGACCTAGTCTCGGCAGTGGAAGCTATTACTGTTTTTTTTTTTCACATAGTTATCGAGTCCGGTCCAAAAATTCGGCTTTTGTTTTCATTCGTGTCCGATTATAAACTTCCTACAATACGACGATGGTGATTAATTGATCGATTGAACAGCTTATTTTCGTTTGATATAATAAAGCCAAACTTCACTCAAAAATCGAGCCGAACTCTTTCACTGAGAGTTCGAAGATTAGGTGAGTGGCTGTAAAACCGCAGTGATCTGCGATAAACTCCACGCTCTGTTCCACTCATCGAACAGCAACGTTTCGCTTCCACCGGTCGTCTCGCTCGGAGCTTTACATTTCTTTCTTCTTCTGTCATCACGTCCATCGTTGCATCATCTCATCCTTAAAGATGAGCGAACCTGCGTGGCTGCAATCTCATCTCGAAAATGTCACTCACTTAACCAGTCGGTCAGGTTAATACGTGTGTTGCGAAACGTAACGCGAGCCCTGTCACCTCATCGTTCCGATCTAGGCGTTTACATCAGATTACTGGCCCGTTCATTTTGGTACGCGAGCCGACATGGTGGTGGTGCTCGTCATAGACGAATCGTTCCTCCTTCGGGATAAATAGAGGCTGGCACGCGTGGAGTCACACTGCGTGTAACGAGCGCGTTACTGTGACGCAGCTTTCTAATTTATTGGACGCAGTGTGTGAATGCTCTTTGAATGAGCGCGCACCGCGCAGGAGACGCGTATAAAACGTCGAGCCGTATAATTGATACATAAATTCGCGAACAGAATGACGCATCGGTCTGCCATCGCGGCGGGCGGACGACATTACACGCGCGAAACGAACGTGAACAGACTCTCTTTCGTACTTTCTTCGAGATCTTCTTACGAATACTTCTCATCGTTCTCAGTTTACCTCGCCCCGTAGTTGATTTATCTATTTTTTCATTCGAAGATATTAACTCGGGAAAATATAGCTCGCCCGAATGAATTTTCATGGCTGTCACGAGGGAGACGTGATATACAATCTCTATATTGAATTAATCGTTAAATTTATGCAATACGATATGTGTAAGTTTTTGGTTATATTGACGCAGTGACGACGCCACAAGTTGCTCATAGATTTTCATATTATACTTTATATAATGTGTTGTTTTGAGTAAGTTCTGATTATTTCCTCCGTATTTCCACTTCATCATTCTAGGTGATAAATATGAAGGCTATGCAAAACACACTCATAACAGATGGAACCTTAAAACGTCACTTGATTCAAGGCAAATAAATTTGTGCTAAATTTGCAATCTGTCTTCTTGGATGGGTTCTATTTGCCCGTCTCTTTATTCTCTTTTTTTCGACCGTACATCAGAAAGCCTATCAATGGTTCGCTTGATTTATTTTCAATTTTGCCGAAGAAGATGCTACCGTGAGAAAACGTTCCTTCCCTCTCCGCGAATAATTCCTTTATTGAAACTTCTTTGATTACATCACGATTTTGAGGGAGAGAAAGAGAAAGAGAGAGTGAGAGAGGGGCGGGGGAGGAAGAGGGAGTTTCTCTGTAATAACGAGTCGTAAAAGCTAAGTCACGGGTCAACGATCAATTTTCCAAGATATATCGAATCAAAATCGTGAATCAGTGCGCTACGGGAACGATTGCTTACGTATCGCACAGTTCGCGCGTTTCACGCCATCTAATTCCGCGGCTCTTATCTAACCGTTATCAGAGCAAATGGAACGTCTTGACAATAATAAGCGTTTTTTTCGATAATACACTCTATGTTTTGTGGGGCGCACGTAGCGCAATCGTCGTTTGTGATAACAAACGCGAGATTCGTCGCTGCCAAGTTTTCAGTGTATGCTCGATCGGTACTGCGTCTGGATTGCGGCACTTGCCGCTCGCGTGGAACATCGCGCCGCCGTGCGATCGAGGCCGGGCAAGCGAAATTTTCTCGCGACCGCGAAGTTCGCCGATGTACGAATAGCAGGAGTGGCGTTCACCAGCGGCGCCGCTCGTTAAATCGTGACTCGCGCGAGTTGTCGCGCGAACGGGTTAATTGAAGAGAAACATTTCACTCCCGGCGGACTCGCGAGTAGCCAGCCGGCATGTCCGCCCCCGCCACGGTTTTCGCCGCTTTCTCGGTTCTCAAGGACCATGTTAAATTCAAAGTCAGTCAGGATTCGGTATCCATTGACAACATCGGTAATGAATCTCCCAATCTTCTGCTCTTTCCGCGCGTCCCTTCCCATGTCGCGACGTCGTCCGTTCAGTCATCGCCAACGGAGCGATCGTGACTGAAAAATATCTTACTGATCGATTTACCGTTTTTCACGGAGTTAACACGCGCGCCCTTATCTCGTAAGAATTATGCGTTCGATGTTAGGTAATAAAAAGAAACGCATGGCTGCTTAGTTTTCAGGCTGCACTACAGAGTTACCTTCCTGTTGCTCCTCGGCGCGTCGATTTTGGTGTCGTCGAAGCAATTTATCGGAGAGCATATCAGGTATATATCATATCGTGAAGTTGCCTATATCGATGTAATTAAAGTGAATTAGAAAAGCAATGATGGCTTTTATGTTACTGCAAAAAGATGTATCGCCGACAAAGATTTACCGGAAAAAGTCATCGAGACCTTTTGCTTCTTCACGTCCACCTACACCGTGGTAAGTCGAAAGTTGCGATATTCGATGAGAATCGTAGTCGAGGTATGATTTTCTACTTGAATTCACGTTGTTCATTGTTTTTCAAACATGCGTTTCTATCGTAGCGACCTTCTTTCTCGATAAACATCTGTATTATCTGTCGCCCGCGTTATTTTTCGCGACGAGCCAATTTACCGCGCGGAAAGATATTAGATAAAGTTGTTATCCAATTAGAAATGACTGGAACTGCAAAAGTGTTCTTTCCGGTAGAAAAGTCAGAGAGAGAAAGAAAGAGAGAAAGAGAGAGGAGGAAGGAGCAACTGCTTCTCGCGATCATTCTCAATTAATTTGCTCTTCTCAGGTGAAGCATCTGAATGCTACCGCGATAGAGAGAGGTGAAATGCCACATCCTGGTGTTGGTCCGGTCAACAACGAAGATCCCATCATACATCACGCTTATTATCAATGGGTGCCGTTCGTCCTGTTCTTCCAAGCGCTACTTTTCTACGTGCCTCACTATCTGTGGCGAAGAATAGAAGGTCGAATAGTTGTATTTACAAGGAAAAGAAACTCGTGCAACTAATTTTCCGTTCTCCCGGCAATTGGACAAAAACCCGACTGTAGGAAGAGAAAGGAATTCTCAATCAATAATAGACAGGAAAAAATACGTTAGATTCAAGTAAATAATCACTTCAGTACTCCTTAGCAAATTTTTATACTTGGATCAAGTAAGTATTACTTGATCTAAGTAAAATATTTTCCAAGTAAATTATCCAAGTAAAATATATATTTATTTGATCCAAGTAAAATTTACTTAAATTAAAATAAATATTTGCTGAGGAGCATTGGAGTAATTCTTTATTTGAATCTAGCACCTTTTTTTTTTCTCTGTATGCGAAAGAGCCACTTAGAGTCTGTGACCGAATTTGATAATACAATAACAAAATAAACCAAAAGTCTTCCTGTTAATATAGTCAGAAAAAAATTATGCAACTCCAGATGTTTCAGGAAGATTCCTTCGTAGGGAATTTTTATCCTTGGGAGATATATATTAACAGTTAATTGTTTTAGATAAATATAATTGTTAAATTATTTTTTCAATTACCTGAATCGAGTGTTTAACGCAACCGAACGTTCGAACGAATGTCTTCGGTCGCGATAACAGGAACATCGTTCCTCGTCACCGAGTTTTCATCTGGCCTTCGTTCTGTTGCACGAGTTGAGATTTTTCCACGTATATATGTGTGTCGTCTCTCTTCGCGTCCGACTAGTTTATTATCTCGAACGACAAGCTAATCACCATCAATCTTTCGACCGCCACTCGTAATCTAATCGTATAATATTTCCAACGCACGTATGTATGCGGCGTGTTGTGTTACAAACACTATTGACAAAAATTGATATTGTAACATCAGCGGGCGATAATAACCAATCATCAGCTATGGCACAACATTTCATGTCTGAGACTAGGCCTACTTACTTCTCTACCTTACATATGCCATGTGGTGCGCACATAGATCGTACACACGCGACCTACAATTTAACGCCGTTTCCGAACGGCAGAGTGGAGAGAAGTTTTTTTCTTGGCAAGAAATTATTTTTGGTGGTTTGCCGGGCCACCGAAGAGGAGCTACGAGCGTATGAAAAATTTTCTGTTTTTGTCGGGGAGCGAACCCGGGCCTCTATAACATAGTACACTAGTGCGCTGTTTATCATACCACGCTCGCGCTCGGGAGACAATAACTGTTCAGAGAATTCGCGGGACACATTCCGAAGGAGCTGGCGATCCTGCGGGGCTTTTAACCATTCGTACTCGCACGTCTCTTCTCAGTTGCCGGAGTTAAAACAACGTTAAACGAGAGTTTTTATTATTTACTCTTTCAAATTGTATAATTAATACAAGGTGTGCCGAAAATACTCGTAGAACCGAGGAGGAGATGAAAATGTAGATTGAAATATTGTTTCGTACGAGGCCCCGTCAAGAAAATTGAATTTTCGTTAAATATATCACTCGGCTTGAGCGTTGCTATTTGGAATGAAGTCTTCTCAAGACAAATTCAATCTATATCTCCGATTTATCGTCGCATGAGGAATCATCTCCTTTTCGGTCGTACTACGATTCCCGGCACGCCCTGTTAATCAAGTCCGGGAATCGTGAATTGCCATGATCGCTTCATTTCAGGCGGCCGCTTGAAGATGCTGGTCTCGGGCCTGCACATGGCGGCCTTAGCGTTGAACGACACGGAGCTTAAGATATCGGAGAAAGTCACGGTGCCGTCGAAGCAAGAGCGCGACGAGAGGATACAGCAGATCCGTATCGGTTTCCTGAACCGCCTGCACCTGAATCGACCGTGGGCATACGGTCTGACTTTTTGCGAGGTCATGAATTTCACGAACGTGATCATGCAAATTTACTTGACCGACTGGTTCCTCGGCGGTGCTTTCCTCGGACTCGGTCAGTCACTCGTCGAGCCGGTACCTGAGGATCTGGCGAATCCGCTCGATATCGTGTTCCCGAAGGTACAGCCTCGTTTATGTCGCTACTCTCATATTCCACGCGCGTTATAAGGCCGGAATCTTCAAACCCCTTCGATTCGCAGGTTACTTTGACCATGATTCCGATTTCTCGGCGTGAGATTAAGATCGCTGACGACGCTGTAACGTCCGCAATCGGTGCTAATTATTACTCACTTATTATCATAATTATTTATCACGTCATATCTCGGAATCTCAATTTTTTTTCTTCAACCTCGAAAAACTTGAGTATTTCCTGCGTAGATTCTATCTAATAATCTGAAGTAGAATAAATATGAGGCTCTGACGACAAACGTTAACGTCAAAACGGACAAATAAAGTTGAATGAAGAAAACAGATTATTGGTAACTGCTATGAATACCAAGACGACGTTTAGATCCTACTTTGGACCATCTTCGGCAAGCAACGGCAGAAACAATAAGATCTAAAAGATTTGGAATAATGTAACAGTCAAACCGTTAAAATGAGTCCATGTAAAAATCACATTGATGATGCAATCAATCTGTCAAATTATCAATCAAATCTATTGTGAGCGGATTAACGATAATATGCGATAAAAACCAGATAAAATAAGCTATTTTGGGCCAACAGGGCACCGCCTAAAGTGAGATAACATAAGAACAATATTAACAAAATATGAAATAACGATTGGATCTACTTAACTTTATTGTAAATTCGTCAAATTAACAGCGTTACACCCTCAGAAACTGTCCGTCGTCTTTTTAACGTTCAGCCGGATTTCGCCAACTTTAGTCCTCAATTTAAATTTCCAAGCGTCTCTTTTTCATCGCTAATAATAGTCCCCTTGACCCAAACTACCGAGGACCACAGCCGCCGCATAATATTCCCGACGTATTGTATCGACGAATACGTAACCGTGGTTTCCAGGTGACCAAGTGTATCTTCTACAAGTACGGCCCTACCGGCACCATACAAAAGCACGACGCGCTGTGCGTGATGGCACTGAACATCGTTAACGAGAAGATCTATACAGTCCTCTGGTTCTGGTTTATCTCGCTGGCAGTGGTAACCGGTTTGGGATTGGTTTGGAGAATGCTGACCATGATCCTTCACGCGAGGTTACTAAACCCTACATATTTTTCCACTGTTAGAGAACCCGAGACTTAACTTCTTACGGCGTTTTACGGCTTTGTAAATTCACACAGAGACCCTTCGCCTTCCTTTCTCTTGGAATACCTGTTCGACGAGCCCGGTATATCGCGCCCGTTTATTCTGTCCAGGAAACACCGTTTCCTTCATCTCGAGCGTTTCGTCACGATCGTCCCGGTTTGTTTGCGTAGAATCGTAGATCCGGCGTGAAGAAATTTATTTTGGCTCTTGTGTTATGCGTCAATAGCAAATTCGAGATTCCGTCCTCTTCGACGAAAATTCGATGATAACGGTGCAGTGAGAAAAAAGGTCCGGTCATATCTGATCGGATAATCCAGTTAAAAAGTAACAAAACTAATTTTCCGATTAGGTTTCATCGGTAACTTCACCGGTAACTTCATCGGATATTTTATCGGATAAAGATATCCGCACACTTGACCAGATATAATAAAGATAACAATAAGATACATTATTTAATCGGTTTATCCGATTTTTCTCGATGCGTTCGAATCCGGTGAAAATCACTTGAGATGACTAATTCGTCGCAACGCGCTTTGTCTCTATTACGTTATTATTATATAATAATGTAACGTTGCCGCACGTATCATAATGTGCGTAATGAATGCAACTGTGTCTCGTAACGACACGTCTGCGAGCCTCGCTGATAAAAAATCGCAAATCTAACCATGCATACGGTACATTTAAAAATAGCGTATGAATAACGCAAATTATAGACGCGGACGCGTGATAAGAGAGCACAAGCAGATTTCGTCGTGACGCGATACTCATTCGCGGTTTTTTCCCTTGCAGGAGCACGTCATTCAACAAGCTTGTATTTTCCATGGCCTGTCCCGGAAGGTTTAATCCATGGAACGTGCTCAGCGTGACGCACGAGTATTATTTCGGCGACTGGCTATTCCTCTTTTACATCGCCAAGAATTTGGACAATTACGTGTTCAAAGAGCTGCTGCAACAATTGGCGGAGGACCTTGAGAGTCGACGGCTCCGTTACAACCTCCTGCCCTTGGACGTAGAGGATGACTTGCTGAAAAAGGAATAAGGCACGCGAAATGACGAATTTCGTGCGGAAGAACTGCGGATCATCGTTCATAACTGAACTCGAAAACACGAAAACATCGTGCGCTGGATCCACCGTCATTTCTCCGCTAGATTTCTCTCGCCCGTGTCGTAACGCGAGACAACCGATGGACAAGCTGAAGACGCGATTCTAAATCAAATCGATGATTTTTCGCGCTACGGCTGTCGACAAAAATGCAAACCGCAATTGAACTGGCAAAAAGCTTCGCATAAGCCCTCTCAAAAGTCAGACTGATCAAATCCACTTTGCGTAAATTTTTCGATTTTAACATCAAAGCGTATGTACCGTCCTGTACTTTTCAAATTCAAGAAATTTACTTTATTTTACTATAAATCCAGAGCGATTTATTTGATTTTAAACGTTGTTATAAATTGGGAAATTTCAAGAGCGATGTCCGTTAGCTCAATTTCCGAGAGGTTCATGCACGCGAATGTGATTTCATCTATCTACGTGTCTGCGTATATGTGTGTATGTGTGTGCGCGCGTGTGTGTATGTCACATCATTACCACGTTGGAAATAAGTTAGCGCGCGCGCGCGCGTTACGAAATCGCCCGAAAATCACCCGAGCGGTGATACACGAGCGTGTTTCAGCGCGATTTATCGCGATTGTAACATAATGCGTCTCGCGTGCATCGCGGGCCTGCATTCGCGCGGCCATGTGCGCGCCATGTATGACATAACTGCATAACCGTCGCACCCGATCGTCTTTTAACTACCTCGTACGGAGGACTCGCGTGTACATGTGACGCGTTGCTACTACGTTGCATGCGCACATACGATCGTCGATGTTAACAAAGAGAGAGAGAGAGAGAGAAATCACATGTGCGTGCAGATAGTGTACACATAAATACGTCCGTACGTTGCACCGAATCGATAAACGACTCGACAATCGTTCGGATCGTTAAGTCGTTACAACCTCCCCGATTGAAACTGTGTCGTGGCCTACTATCGAACCAGCGATCGATGGAAATTTATTTAGACTGGTCTAGCACGGCTCGCCGGAGTTACCTATCGCCGTTACCGTTACCGTTGTTGCCGCTCGGTACCGTGTCAATTTTTTACGAGACGTCCGAAGAGCCGACTTGTTAATTAAGACATTTTCGCCTCACGTTGTTAATATGCACATATTCTCCGTTGTGATTCACACGAGTGTACGAAAAGTCAGGTTCGGTGTGTGTGTGTGTGTGTGTGCGTGTGTGTGTATGTCGTTGAGTTGAAATAAACACATTTTTTGGAGAAATATTTGAAGTTGCGTAACCGATTGCGAATCGATTATCATAGGTCGCGTCGTATTCATAAAGAATATCTTGCGCAAAGCAGTTATATATTCCAGATTATATAACCATGTTGGAGAACCTATGGGACGCGCGGAGATGCTGCTTCGCCCGGAAAATATTCGTCGGCTGGTATGCGAGCAGGTATGAGAAGAGATGTCCAGGGATTAACCATCCCTGCGGAACAATCCAGCTAATGCGGGTCGTAAAACCCGAAATCCTATGCTAGGCAGGTTTTCAACGAGATCCCTGGCTGCTGTTAAGTCTCGGATGCAGACAGAGAAAGTCGAGAGCGCGCCGGAGACTCGTCACGGTCGGCACTTTGTTCATTATATTCCAGCGCTCGGGAAATGACAAGGGCGACTGACAGAAAAAAAAGGAAAGAAAAACAGAAGAGGCTTGCGCCCATGTGCTGCACACTTGGGCCTCACTTCGTGGCGGGTCGAGTAAAATGATGCATCTCTTTTTTTCTTTCTGTTTCCCGTCGCGTCGTGTCGAGGGAATGATCTCGAAAGAGAAATATCTTCTCTCCTTTCTAATTCTAATTTCAAATTTTTCCAACTTCCAATCCAATTCTTCCCTTCACGTGAAATTCGCCGCAATGTTCGATCTCAATTCTTTTCTCACTTCCGACTCTTCTCATTTCGAATTCTTTTAACTTCATCGCGAAAAGTCGCTGTTTCAGTTCCCGCGACGAAGGGGACGAAGGATTTTCCTCGTTGAAATTCATCAATAGTATCGATTAAAGGCACACGCGCCTCATCTCTGAATCTTCCGCGAGGAAATTCAAATGTGCCGCGCGATGCATCGCGAACGACGACACTTGCAGGCCGCGGAGCAGGCGTTCCGAGTCGTCTTCGCGTAGGGAAGATAAAATCGAAGATTTTTGACGAATGTCGGTTTAGGAACGAAGTACGATGCGTAAAATATGTCTCGCATTCCCGACGCGCCGTACGTCTAGACGACGCTTTTGCCTGTCCCGAGCGCGTACGTATGAAAATACACGGGAGATGGATTTCGCTCACGAACAATGGATCGCTCGTTGGTCTCCGCGTTCGCGAAAAAAAAAAACCCCCGTCGTCGTTCCCCTAATTCCTAACTCTTTCGATTTTTACTCCGATCACCGTGAAAATTCGCGCTTGTCCGGGAAAAGTTATCTAAAAACGTTGACATTCGAGACGAGTTTCAAACGTAAACGAGGCTCGAGGAGCGTATTTAGAGCCGCGGACGTCTCTTAATTGGTAGCATTCAATCTCGCGCGGCGACACACATTCATTCTTCCTTTACCGTACACGTTGGGCGTACGGCTCGACGAGTGTGAACGTAGCTGCACATACATGAGCAACAGGTTGCTCTTAATCTATCTAGGACGCCAGATGCACGGCGTTTGTGTTTTCCTCTGGATATTTAGACGTACCGCTCCTTCGCTTTACGACGTAACGTGATTCACGGTTGACCATTGTATCGCAGAAGAAGGCAAAATGGAACGGAGACGCCGATATGTCGCTCGAAAAGATAGCGAGCTATAAAAAAAGTATATACATGTAACAGAGAAAGAAAATATCGGAGGGTTGGAATTCAAAGATACGTGGACGAAGAGATATGAAGGAATCTCTTCTGCGTTATTCGTCTGCTTTTGGAATTCGAACTGGTTTCTCTCTCTCTCTCTCTCTCGCTCTCTCGCTCTTTCAGATTACGAAGGGTCGGTCATTACGCAGCCGGCGCGCATTCGTCACAATTGACACGATTGAATCACAGCGGTTCTCAGTGCCTCGTCCGCAAACCGGTCGGACGGGCTTTCGCGATCAGCGCGTCTCAACAACACGCTGGGACTCGCGTGTTTCCACGTGCGCGAAACGAATCGCGAACTGATCGAAGCGCATTACCTCGTCGAACAACGAGCACCGGAGAGCAAGCAACAGGAGAATAGAAGTGAAAGCTCACGTCGAGGCCGAGAAACTCTTGGCCCGGCCTCGGAAGAAGGAGGAATCTCGATTGGTTTTGCTCATTGCGAAACCCCGGTGATCGATAACGATCGATCTCGAGCGTTTGTTACGTTCGCTGGCGTATTTTAACACGTGCGCTACTGCGTTCAAATTGAAAGTCGCTCACTGTGATTCACGCTGTACTTCTAATATATGTGCTCGACACAGCGTGTGTTTGCACTTATGCGCGCATAAAATATGTTAATTAGGCAAATTGAGCGCTTAACGTGATGCACACATGTGTGACGCTTGTAACGGACGTGTCAACATCGGACGTTGATCCGCGGACGTCTGGACATCTGGAAAACGGTCTTCGTCGTATCTTCGTTTGGAAAATCGATTCGTTCATAAATATACTCGCGTTGGCGATCGAAGCTATTAAGAAACGCAATGTTGCGGAGGCGATGCTTATCTTTAAATGTCTACCGTCTGTTTCTACTAATGTTGATTAAATCTTAAGATAATTGGATTATCCATTTTCTTAGAAATTCTTTTGAATTTTAACTGCATATTGATAGACATACTATCTACACATCTGTAAAATTAGTAAGCAGATTAACCACAAATTAACCATTCGATAGCTGAGGTATTTATAATTAAAGATCGCTTTTAAAGATCATTTTTTACACCGTATTCCTTGAAGTTAATGTTCATTTTTTTAACTTCTATTTTTAATTTCTTTTAAACCGCACTTAGAATTTTAATGAAAAAACTATCGTGATATTAAGGACTGATATAAATATGTTATACAAACATTTTAGAATTATTGACTAGTTTGTTTTAAAAATATAATCCTAGGAAATTTATAATTTATTATGATATCTGTGATACATGTGTACAAAGTGACTAAAAGTCTATATGTGTATAAGTGAAGCATTCATAATTTTTGTTTAAGTTTAACTTTTTAAGCTACTGTCAGATTTAAAAAAAGCTACCTTGAAATTAGAACGTAAACTGTTCAAAGTGCAAAAAACGAAGTTGGCCGAGTTTAACGCATATCGCACAGCACGAATGAGACGTAGGCGCAGAATATAAACATGAAATATTACACAAGTTTCATCTCTGTTATCGCGGTTGCTCTCTTGCTCTCAATACGTTATGGCTTGTTATCGAAATGAACAGCGCATAGGTATGCTATACATTCGCAATATACGTATACGCATAAATGGTCAACACGAGCGATTAACGGGGACAACTGGTGGGCACAAAGCACGGCGGGCCCACGATGAGAATCAATCAGCTGCGAGTTGTAATTTTTCACAAGCGTTTAGGCGTCACAGGGAACAAACGTATCCCATTGTGTGCGCCGCAACAATAGCTGGATCCAGTTTGGGAGGAATCCGGCGAAAGGATTGAAAGCGATTTTTCGGCCTATGTTGCTACAAACAACGCATTGTCGTGCGCGAGCACAGACGCTAATTAAGATAATTATATTTAAAGATATTTAAAGTATCGGGACGAAATCATACGCGACATGACTCCGAGAGATTTTCGCACATGGCGTAATTACGTGAACGGCCGGAAAGAATTAACGCGAAACGAGACATCACGGGATTTTTACTGCGCTCGTTTGGCTTCAAAGTTACAACGTACACGACCGATCGATTTGGTTAATTATAAAATTGGTTACGTAAAGAGAGGCAAACGTTGGATGCGATTATAGGCGGGCATCTGAGTAATCACTCGAGGTAATCGCGGTAAATCCACGTGGTGGGAATGTATCTTTCTTCGCAAATTTATTCACGTTCCTCCTTGTCAAAAATTCAACGTTAATTAGTTTCAATCGATGCGAGATCAGAATTTCCGAAAGGAACCCGAAATTTTGGCCCGAATTGTTGACCCTTTGTTAATTTTTAATTCTGCAACACAGTAGGAGCTAAAATAAGATTCCCATACAATTTCAATTGTAATTGTATAATTTATTCCTACTTCGACCTGATAACGTCTTCGATTTTTTGCTTTTAACCACAAACGTTCAAGGTAGCATTAAAATTAAATCTGTAGAGGTAAAGTTTCAAGGCAAAAATGTTAACAAGTGTTGATATCGTCAAAATAGATTTTCCTTAATCTATAGACCATCTCGAAGTAGGAAATGGCATTAAAATTTTGACCCGAGAAGATGCGAAGAGCTCGTGCGATTTTTCCGTTGCATAAGACACACATACGAGCCGTTTTTCTTGTTGCGTCACCTCGTCCATCTGGTTCACCGCGCACGCGCGCGCGCGAGCACGAGCTGTCAACGGAGACGAAAAATGCAACAGCGGCTGCTGCACATATGTGCACATATGTACACTGGGAGTCCTCGGACGCGGAGGTTAGACTGTCACAAGTGGCCACGGGTGTATCGCGAATCCGCATGAATGGAATCGAATCTCCGGTAGTAGTGATACTCGCGCTTCCGACGCGCTTTACGCGCAATGAATCACCGTTGAGGCTCGCAGCTGGCATGCTAAATTTTCATACAAACGAGTATGTTACTCATCGCACTGATATATAGAGTGACGAGGCGAGACGATGGTGGGCGTGAGAGAAGCGCCGCGAGAAAACGTATTTTCACAAGAGGACACAGCAGGAGAATGAGAACCGTCGGCTTTTAAGGAATGTAGGCTTCCGAAGCGTGTCAGTCTGCAAAAATGCACGGTTGCAGGTACAAAAAATGCAAGGACGAGTTATGGAAAGCCGTCTCTCCCTTGGAAGGTTCAAGGAACAATGAATGTCACGAGAGCGACCAAGGTTTTCGAATATTTCCCGTCCGAGAACTCGCCTGGCTTGCTACTATTACTTGGGTGTGGAAGAGAAAGTCAAGTCACATTAAGCTAAAAGCCATTGGGATGAAAATGAGAGTAAAAGTGGAAAAAAGTGAAATTAAAATGAAATAATAAGAAATATGCAAACAAAATAAAAATAAATAAATACTATATCCAATACTACGAGTAGTATTTCATTAGAATTACATTGAAAGAAAAAATGCTGCATTCAAGTAAATCTTTGCTAAGTAGTATTGAAGTAATAGAGACTATATATAAATGGAAAAAAAGGGAAAAAAACATTAAAAATATTTTTATATTTTTTTTTATTTGTGTAATATAAGATTTACTTCACAGAAATAAAGTTTACTTCTGTGAAATAAGATTTATTTTATAGAAATAAGGTGTATTCCTCTGAAGTAAACTTTGTTTCTGTAAGATAAATCTTTATCCCGCAAATAAATTTCGAAGTACTTTCTCAGTACAGTACGGAGCAACGGGTGTGGAGAAAGAGACAAACTATATTCTCACGATTTTCGAGCAATTCTACCATAATACAAAGCATATGTATAAAAAGATTGATGTAAACACGTGAGAATAAGCCTGCCACGTCTCCGAAAATTTCGGAACACTGGAGAACGACTCGAATATTCCACGACGGTACGAAGAACGCGTTCTTTTTCACAGCTACCTGTCCTCTTCTAACGGCGTCCCATCGCGCAAAATCAACTTCGTTAATGTTTTTCACGCCCCGCTAACAAATACAAAAGGCGCCGCGCGGCGATTGAAAGCCGCAAACATACGAAATGATTTACTTCCACGAAATAATTATGTAACCGCGAGTGCGGTAACGATTCCGGCCAAGATAGAGGCGGCCGGAGGAGAGCCGGAGGAGAGCCTGACGAAACCGCGCGCAACAATGTGTAAGATACATTTTAATTCGCCGTGAGATACGATCGTTTTCCAATCGATTTCACCGCCTCGGGAAGTCGCTCGTTCGCGCGTTCGTTGCGACAATATTTCCCACAATTTACGAGCGTGCACCTTCATATACCGTCGCATCGCCCGCAAAATTGTCAGCGGATATCGATAGACCAGGGAATAATTCAACGCGCTTCGAAACGCACGCGACGTCCGAACGACTCCGGCGCATCGCGCGCCCCTCGAGCTCCCCCTCGGAAATCGGGGAGCGGGGGGGGGGACGAGCAACCCCACATATGTGCGCGTACTCCCGCGAGGGCGGGGGCCCCCCCGAAACGAACGCCGCCGGAAAAAAGGACGATCGTCGTGGTAGTAGTAACGGTAATAACGTCGGATAGACGAGCGCGTAGCAGCGACTATAGATCGCGCGCGCATTATAGAGCTCACGTTGGCGGTACGTCTGGTCTCTCTCCCCCTTCGACGGTATCCTTCCCCATTCTCGGGCCCCGTATTCCCCTCCATTCCGCATAGGCGTCCGCCGGTCCCTTAGTACCCTGGTCGGGACCCCTCTCGCCGTCGCCCTCCGCCGTTGCCCTCCTCGACGGCACATAACAAACGACCGCGACTTCTCGTCAGTCGCCTCTCGACGTATTGCTGCTGCGTGCGTGCGTGCGCACGTACGCATATACGCACTCCATCACGCGCGAGCAACTTTGTGCAGTCGCGCGTCCGTCTCACGATATCCTTCTGTGAGAAAGAGTAGACGGCGGCGACAGTGGTAGCGAGTGGAGAAGGAGGACGAGAGGGGCAGGTGTAATTTATTCCTCCGCGAGAGAGGAACGGAAGACAGGGGCACCTATAGCGGCGAGTTTCATCGCTACGCGGTTTTGTCCCGCATCATATGCGCTTAGAGCAGCAGAAGCGGAGGGGGGTTCTCGACAAGAAGGGGGATAGGGGAAGAGAGAGAAAGAGAGGAGAGAAGAGGGGTCGGTACCGATTGACAGTTGGTAGTTAGTGTCGCTTCCTCGATACGCGACGGTCTGTAGTCGCGTTGCGATCGTTCGGAGCGTCTCCGCTCTTCTGGTACGCTTCTGCCACGGAAAGGAGGAGAGAGGGGAAAGAAGAGGAATAGGAGGGAGAGGAAGGGAGAAATAAAGAGAGAGAATTACGTCTTCGAGAAGGGGATATCCGCGGCGAGGCGCATCGGCTTCAGCTGTTTACCTTAACGCGCGCCCCGCGGTCGCGAAAGAGGGAAGGATCGCTCGAGACATCGAGGGTTGAGGTCGGTTAGGATTCTGGCTCCTTTGAACGAAGAGGAGAGGAAGAAGAGGGAGAAGAACGTCGGACACAGAGAGAGAGAGAGAGATCCTCGTGTCGCTGTGTTTACACCTGAGTTCTCCCTCTGCAGTTTGAAACCGCGTGCCAGCGGGACGCGGAGGAATCTCGTGAATAATTATCGAGGGAATTAACCGGCTAGAGAGAGAAACCGGAGGCTCTCGGAGGAGGATAAGGAACAACCCGGGGAATTCTTCGGCCGACCGTCGAAAAAGAACGAGTTCTGTTCGAAAGGGAACGAATAACCCGAGAAATTATCTCGAGGGACGACGAGGCACAGCCGGAAGCGGCGATAGGACAAAGACGCGACCCTACCTCCTCCTTCCCGCCATTGCCGACCGTGCACGACGCTTTATTACTCGTCCGCTAACTGATTCACGCTAACGCGTGAGCTGTGGGAAAGCGCGTGAGAGAGAGAAAGAGATAACCCGCGCCGAGATCTCTCGCGAGAGAGGAACTGGAACACGTCGAGGACTCGTCGGGAACTCGTCCAGCGTGGTTCGGTGACCGAGCTCGCGTGGAGAGTCCAGCGAAGGAAGGACGTCCGAGGAGATAGAGGGTACGAAGAGAGCGAGAGAGAGAGGGAAGAAGGGGGAGAGAGAAAGAGAGATAGATCTGGAAAGATCGAGAGAGAGAAAGAGAGAAACGGTGAAAAAAGGGCGCAGAAGGAGGGAGAGAAAGAAACCGGGAGCGAGAGAGAAAGAGAGAGAAAGAGCGACGAAGAGGGAGGGGGCAACAGAGAAGGAAGGTGAAGGGGCAAGGCATTGGTGAAGACGGGACGGAAGACGAGGGAGAAAAAAGGAGGGAGGGAAGTAGAGGCAGCCCGCGTGGACAACCGTGCACGCTCGTGTCTCTCGTTTCGTTTTACTGCTTTCGTTCGCGCGAGCGGCGCGTTGGATGAGCACACTCGTTAGTGCCGGTTGATGGTACACGTCTTCGGCGATCGTGATACAGCGAGCCGTTAGAAATTTGCACGGTGAGAGAAGAAGAAGAAGAGGAGGAGAGGAGAGACCTTGTGTCCCGGGAGAAATATCTGTCGATCGCGAGTGGTGGTCCTCGGCTTAGGATCGGGCGTGGAAGTCGGCCAGGCGGGCCTCGTTTTCGTCTCACGGTCAAGCAGACACCGACGCAATCATGCTGAAGCTACTGGGGAACCTAGGTCAGTACCTGAAGACCTCGGCGATCAAGACCGAGTCCACGGTGTTCAGGATGCACAACAAGCTCACTCCGGTGCTGCTGTTGGCGGCCTCGGCGATACTCACGGCCACCCAGTACGTCGGTAGCCCGATCTCCTGCATAGTCAAAGGTGTGCCCGAGCATGTTGTCAATACTTATTGCTGGATAATGTCCACCTTCACCATGCCGGACGCGTACTTTCGAGAGGTATGTGATTCCCGACTTCCCGATTCCTGCCGATCGTTACCGTCCCGGTTTCTCGCCCGGCTGTTCGACAGACTAACGCGAGTCGTGAGAACAGGTGTACGAGACACCGACGAGCGTACATCGGCACGATTATGTAAACATCGCCGGTGTGAATCCTGAATGCTGCTGACTGTGTATCATACGGCTCTCTCCTCGTGGTTTGTCAATGAAGGCGATCGGTTGTAACATTACTTACTGGACGAGAAAAAATTTATCTAATTCATGTGCGAGTTGATTAAATCGGGAGAAAAATTCGACGGTAAAGAACGAATGCGAAGAAATTGGCGATATTCTTGACTAAATTAGCGGACTTTGTGGCACGAATCACCGCCCGTCGTAAGACTCCGTCGGTACGGAGAGCGGAAGTCTATGCAGCTTCGAAAAGACAAGATTTTTATGATAATCCGAAAACTTACATTTTCATCGGAAAGAAACTCTCTATAGGTCAAGGTCAACAAGGATATAAAAAAAATATATATATATATTATATATATATATAAACAGATTACATTAACTAAAGGTCGAATTCCGCGCAGATAGCGCTAACGTTGGCGCTGTCGCAACACCGTGTCGTGTATCCAAGTTGAAATAAAATCTACCCGGGTTGCTGCGTTGCACGTCGCTCCGTAAGCTAAGAACGTTCGCCGGGAGACCGCGGGTTTAGTGTGAAAAATGTTTTACGACTTGAATGACGGAAAAATAAAATCCCGGCAAACGCCGTCCGTTCATCAGTCGCGTGCTGTCGCGAATACAGTCAGCTTATTCTGCCGAGCATTTATTTCCGCGTTTCTCTTTCTGTCTCTTTCTCTCCCTCTCTCTCTGTCGAATAGAGAGCATGCAGCGTCCGACGATCGAGCCGATCAATTAATTCTATAATCGCATTAATTAGTCATGCCTTGTTGCATTACACTTGAAAAACTAGTCACAATTTTCATACATTATCACGTTTTTTCGTCAAACAGGATTCTAATCGCAGCTTCAAAACGTATTCCTCCGATCGCGAGACGTGACTGGAAAATTTATGTCTCACGAGTGGACTGTGAATATAGTTCTTACAGACGTCCGTCGACGCGTTCGCGCTACACTGAAAGCTAACTCGCGAAGCTGTGTATCGAAGCTATCGCGTATGCTAATTAAATGACAATTACGCGCTACTAGATTCGATACGATCATATCGGATTAGAGCGGTAGACACAATATGCAGCCGGTAAATCTTCCTGGCGGCTGTATATAGTAAATTGCAATTATATTTACCGCCTTCCAAATTTCCGCCGCTCGGTATTAATTAATTCATGGCGTGCTCCGACCATGTCCATGGTTCACACACCGTACTTCCTCCATTTTCAGATTGCATCACCCTGTATATGATATTGATACGCGACACCACGGTATTAATAGAGATTTGTCCGTCGCGTTTACGGCTTTGATCCGATAGGTCAGTAGCCGGTAACATAACCAGCATCTGATTTCCATACGCGATAGCCGTATATGTCTGTCTCTCTGTCTCTCTCTCGTTCTCTCATTCTCTTTCATACATGTGTACACACATGCCTTTCACGCATGAATTTTTACGGCCAAGAGCGGTGCTCGCGATCCGTCTGGCAAATAATCACAGAGCCCGCGCGGATTTACGATTGTCCGCAATTCCTACTCGCGAGATGCCAAACGCAAGCGAAATTAAAACACAAAGAGAGAGAGAGAGAGAGGGAGAAAGAAAGAAAGAAAGAAAAAAAGAAAGAATTTCTTCCTCGGGAATAATAATTCACGACCGCGAGAAAGAGAAGAGCCTCGGTGCTCTCGGCGCTTCCTCTTGAGCTGGCGAGCTATCGGCTATCCGAGGAGTCTCGAGGAAACCGTCGTAGAGTGGAACATTTTTCTCCTTATCAATATCCAAGCCTGATACGCCACGGAGAGAATCGGGTGACATGGTTGCGCCTTGCGTTAGCGCGCGATGGGTGCACACTAACAGGGCGAGCGCGATGCGCGTGCATTCTCATTGTTATCCGCTCGTTCAAGTATCGTATGTCTTCAGACCGGCAAGGAGGTTGCCCATCCGGGAGTGGCCAACGACTTTGGAGACTTCACCGGGAGGAAATACTACACGTACTACCAGTGGGTCTGCTTCATGTTGTTCTTCCAGGTAGGCGGTCTACCGTTATCAGCGATCTACCACACGTGCGACGCGCGACGTCGCGCCGTGATCGCTCACAAAAAAGGAGAGGAGAAAGAAAAAAGAGAAAGAGAGAGCGCGCGCGCTCTTGGCGTCCGCTCTTTGTGTCCATTCCTCTGTCTGCCTTTCCGCTGATCCGAGCTTATCTTTTGTATCTGTCGGCTGTCCGCGGCGCACACGTGGAGGCACACACGTGGGAGGTCGCGTGGTCGCTTCGCGCATTCGCGCACGTTGCGAATACTGATACCGTCGTGTCGGCGGTTTTTGAACGCTGACACGCTCGCTACCGCGGTTTGTTCGGCCTGCTCTCCCCCCGTGAGCCTGCGTTCTAAAACCCTGCTCGACCGGTAGCGTTTCTATAATATGCATTTAATTGACCAACCCTTCTCGACGAATAAAGTTTAATGCGCATTTAATTGGCTATTCATAACTAAAAGAGCAAATATCTCCTTATAATGATATTTATAACATTGGTTAATCAAACTAAATTATTTTAATAAATTCTTTTACGTCGAGTAGGGTTCTGAAACGCAGCCTTGGTATCTCAGTTACGCGCAACTTGAAGTGAGAGATCGATGCGTCACATATTGCTAGTAGAATGTTAAAGTTTAACAAAGTCAATGGGTTTCTGGCGTTTGCTCTTCGGGGTCGCTTCGAGGCGATCTCTAATGTCCGTTCCTACCAATGTCGATTACACCTTAACCTAAGTTTAAGTGTTTGTCTGAAGGAAGTTTAAAGTCAACGTTTAATCGACGTTGGTAAGAATAGATATAATAGAATCTTCATATCTCAACAATGCCATATACGATAAAGACCGAAGAATCATGAAGATCTCGAATCCAAATTTTAGTCCTACTTGAAGTCTAATTTAGTTCTACATTAAATCGGTCAAAGGTCTTTTATCGCGCTCTTTGGATGCTACAAGTGGGGAAATTATTGCCGTTTTCTCCACTTGAAGGTTTAACTTGTAGAACTAGAATTTAGACTCAGGGTGTAATCTAAAGTCGTTAAAAAGTATTCACGTTAAATTTAGCGTGAAATCGCGCGAAGAAGTGCCCGCGGTTTATGGTATACCCATGATGCGTTTTTCATCGAACCGTCGTTGGCGTCATTCGCGTTATTAGCTGCGGACATTTTTCCCAGCACGCGAGTGTTTATTTATTGAATTATCTCCCTATTAACAGGCACTTTTATGCTGGATTCCGCAATGGCTGTGGAATTTCTGGGAAGGCGGCTTGATGGAGACGATCACCATGGGCTTGGATCAAAGCATGGACACTAAAGAGAATATAGAGAAGAAGAAAAACTGTCTCATGGAATATTTGACACTGTATATGAAGGTAAGAATACGGGTCTAGTTCGGTCCGTAATTGTGTGACGAGCGAATTTCTCCTTTGACAAAGTAGACAAAGTAGACATTTCTAGCATTTTATCTCTCTGTAAGAGGGCAGAAGGGCAACTGCTCCATCCGATAAGTATTGTTTATCTGATCGCTGGTAATCGTTTATCTTTCAACGAAATTTATCTTGTAATTCATGGAGCACGCAACAATGGAAACGTTGCTACTACCGTTGTTATCGCGTGTCTCTTCCTATATTATATTATTCTAAAAATAATTTCGAAGATAAGATTTAGGTAATACCGGTTGACTGCCAATAGAATTATCAGTTATTGAGCAACGATGATGTGAACAAGCGGCGGTTTTGACCTATTAAGGCTTCTGGTTCCTCACCGCAACCATCTCATTTTACGAAGAAGCGAGAAAAACTCAGAATTCTTGCAATGTATGTTCAAATAAAAAAGTATATTCACATAGAACGACATTTATGATCGATTCGACACATTCGTTGTAAATTAACTTTGCTCTAAAAATCAATAAATAAACGTAAACTTAACACGACATGCAACCTTCCTTTTTAATCAGTCTTTTCCCATGCTTTCGTGTCGTTAATTTTACAGCAATTTATTGATTGTCCGAGTAAAAGGAAGGTATTAGGAATATTAAAAAATTGAATTTGCTGGATAGACCACAAATGTCACTTCGTGGCTACATCTTTTCACTTGAACGTGTACCACAAGAATCCTGGGTATGGATCTTATCTCTTCTGACGTGACAAAACAAGATGACTCGTGAGTGAAATAGGAGCTTCCAAAAAGAAATAGCCGAATATCCCAACTCACGAACTGATGCGTCGGACAATCGAACGGATCGTGCAATCCGAACCGATGCACTCGTGTGTACAACCCACGCGGGCGCGCTGCATTTATTTATAAATAGATTAGTGCGACATGTCGCGCTGCGGTCGCTTAAGACGGTATGTCAGAGGACGAATTGCTGGCGAAGGGAAAGACACACGTAGAGAGAGAGAGAGAGAGAGAAAGGGAAAAGAACGAGCGAACCTTGCGCGACGAGAGAGGGAGATGGCCGCGTTAAGTCCAATTCGTCCTCATTGAGTCCAATTTGCCTTAATTCAACGACGAATTGTGCTTGCTTTCAGCGTCACACGACGTACGTGTATGAGTACTTCGCCTGCGAATTCCTATGCCTCGTCAATATGTTCGGCCAGATCTACCTGATGAACTACTTTTTGGGCGGCGAGTTCTTCAGTTACGGCACGCGGGTGATACAGTTCTCCAACATGGACCAAGAGAAACGAGTGGATCCTATGGTCTATGTGTTTCCCCGCATGACCAAATGTATCTTTCACAAGTACGGTCCGTCGGGCTCGATTCAGACCCACGACTCCCTCTGCCTACTACCGCTCAACGTGTTCAACGAGAAAGCCTACATCTTCTTCTGGTTCTGGTACTTGCTGATGGCCGTTTTGCTAGTGGGCCTGGTGATGTACAGGCTAATGATCATCTTCGCGCCCGGTCTGCGGTCGAGGCTGCTGCACATGACGGCGAAGAGGCTGCCGATCGAGATCTGCGAGAGCGTAAACAAGAAGGTGAACCTCGGTGACTGGTGGATACTCTACAACCTCGCGCATAACATGGACCCGGCCATCTACCGGGAATTCCTCACGGAGTTCACGAAGAAGATGAGCAACTCCAGCCACACCAAAATGAGCGTGTAACTCGCGCGTGTGTATGTACAGTAGGGAATTGCATAGTTTTATATGCCGACGCGGACTGAGACACTCGCACCTCGCGACAGAAGCTCCCTCTTCCCCACGCGTCCCCTGCAAACAGTTCCGTCGCGATAGGACTCTCATGGATATACAGATTTTTGTATATCGTCGTAATGCAGACGTGGTATCGCATTGCAGAGCATTCCGCCGCGCAAAGCGGCTGAGATTCGAGCCGGCCTCTGTAATTCAGGAGCGATCCGACTCGGCCCTCCAACCTTGGACGACGCCGTATTTTTCAGACGGGCGTCTCTTTTCAGACAAGCGCCGCTCGAGACGCGCATAAGCAAGTGGAAACGTCCGCTGGAAACGTGTCGGGAAAACAAATTCACGCGTTCACGTTGCGATGTAAATTCATCGGTGACTTCTCGTCGCGCGAGCAGCCAACGGAAATCGCTTAATCCGATGTTAACAGTTAGATTACACGCTGCGCTTTTTCGTCGAGGCCGTCGGTGCGAGTGACGAATCGAATTCGCGGACGCGACTATGGGAAGCGCGAGTCAATGAAGACGCGAAGGAGTGACAGAAATAAAGCAAGCCGAAGTATATCCGGAAGACAAACACGACACTAATTCGGGTGAAACATTCGTCACACGTCATTACACGCGTGCGTTATCGAACTAACGGAGAAAATTCCTTGGCGTCGTTTGACTTGACATTATTTGATTCGCGCAACATAATCGTTGGACTTGCATGCCGATATTTTTTATTTATTTCTTTTTCCTCAAGAAACGTGTTGCCATTTCTCGAGAGTTCCGAATTTCGTTTCGCTGACTAAACGGTAAAACTACTTCGCGGAAAATCTCGTTCGTACAATGCGAGATTCAATGTAATCTCGTCGTATTGAGCTTTCCCGATCGCACATATAACGCCGATTGAGTTATCCGTTTGTGCGAAATACGGACGAACGTGCGCAATGTGATTTTCCGGCGGAAATGAAATGTGGCTATCTAACGTGATTAGAAGTAATGGCTTGGGAAAGGTTAATTATATGCGACGCGACTCAAAAGATCCTTCCTTGAAACACGTGCGATTTTGCCGGAATCGAATTGCCGAGGATGTAGCGATGCGAGAAACATAATTGACGGTGTTGTTTAATCGCATCTATTTCTATTCTCTTAAAGTGAATTAGCGACAATGTTCCCGCTGTGAATCAGCAAAAGGAGTATTTTACCGACTGATAATCAATGAGTACGGAAGAGTTTCCTGACTCGTACCAGTTACCTAAATTGTGCCTTATTATTTTTTTCTGTAATTATTGGATGCAAGCGCGATCCAGTGATAAATATATAAAATAAATGAGAGATGAAAAACAAGTCAAAACTTAAAAGACTTGTATTTTCTGTGTGATATAAAGATCTTAAAAATATCTCAAGTGTACGATTTTGGCAATTTTTCGCCCTTTGTTGGTTGATTTTCAGTAGGAGCACTCTCGTTACCGGAAGTAAGATTTTATTGGAGCTTTTAGTGCACGAACTCGTCGCATATTTATATACCCAGTTCAACTTTCCGTGTTCGTGACGATGGAATTAACGTCTTCCAATGTTTCATGTGTCTTGCGTGCACGTGCGGTGAGACGTAATTTCACATAATTTTTTGTCTACATCCGCGAATTCTGCATCAATAACGGAAACAGTTGTCTACTCAATCGACTATTAACTGCCTTTTTCAGCGAGACTTTACTGACTGCAACATTATACTTCCAACTAAGCTATCAGTTAGGACATTTCAGTAAAAAAAGAGCCTGATTGCATTTCAAAGAGTACGTTGTCCAAGGGTTAAAGGGCCGAAAGATCGTTACCGTTCGCTGCGTGTCGATCGGAAACAAAGAGAGATGTATTGTGCTGAGAATTCTTAATTTCAATTTCAACCACAGAATCTCTTCGACTGGGGTTCCTCGCAGTCGTTCGTTTTTACAGGTACATTCTTAGATAAACGGTAACAAGATGAAGAGATACTTAATATAAGATATTAAGCGGATTGCGCAACAAACGACGAGAGAGAGACTTCTTAGCGAGAGATTTTCTCCGAGGGGCCTTCGGGGACTTTGGATCCTTTTTTCTCGGCCAGTCTCTCCCGGTGGGACTCCAAGCCGATAGTCGCGTATTACGTATATGTCCTTAGTTTAAATAAATATTTGTCTAGAGTGTGCAGAGAGAAAAAAATGGACTCTTTCGTGTTATGGCGAAGCCCGCTCGCCCGCTCGCTCACGTGCACGCGCGTTCGAATACTTTCGCCGCTGCGCGCTTGCGTCATCGCGAACCGCAAGAATTCCGCGTTGCTTGCGGCATCGCGACCTGTGCGCGGAGACTCGCAGAACGGTCGATCGCACGCACGCACGCACGCACGGAGATCACGAAGAGTGTTCGGGTTCTCTTAAGGTTTCTCGGCAACCGATCGCCGCCTCTCGCGGACTTCATCTATCGGTCGCATTCACGTGTATGTTCTCTGCATTGCCTTATGTAAGATGTGATAAGTAGCGTAGCACTCGCGCGGGATTGGAAACAGGAGAAACCGTCTCGAGAAGAAGAAGCGAACGAACGAACGAAAAGGAAACCGAGAAACTTCGTCGCCACTTTATTGCTCACATTCGGACGTCGTCGCGTTATTTTTCTCTCTTTTTACCCACTTGTGTTCCACGGACAACAAAAGTCGTTGTCGGACAAGACTTCCCACTCAGAATCGTGGATTCGCGTTCGCTCATATCTTCGTTTAGTATATAAGAGACCATTTTACTATTATTACTACTATTACCGTTACTATTCTCGTTGCAGTGAGTTTTCATTGTACAGGTGAGAGGATGTATGAAAATTAAATAATCGGACAGCGGAGTCTCTGTTTCTGATTTCCCTCTCTCCCTCTCTCTCTCTCTCTCTTTCTCTCTCTCGTTTTGAACGCGCGTGGAACAACGCGGAGACTTCAATGCGACGCGCATCGATATGCGGCTCTCCGTAAAGCTGCCTGCACACCTACACGCGCGAGACTACCTTTGGCCGATGCTTCACGTTCACTTCATCGTGCGCGACGGCTGTTCAAACAATTAACAAGCGATTTTCTGCGTTGTCACGATTCTGCGCAGAGCATATATCAGCGAAGTATGATTCGTCGCAACAAAATTTGACATCCGCGAGTTGCGAATCCGCCATTTCATCCTATTGTGAAATGTGCTAAATTGTGTGGCATGTAATAGATAGGCTATGCATTATAATAATGGAGGAAATAAAGGCATGTTTCGAAATTTGCACGAGATCGGCGTAAATCAATGGAAAAGTAAACAGCAATTTGTAATGATGTATACGCGTGTTTACAGAAAAAGAGGAAGAAGAAGAAGCGTTATATTGTAAGAATATTTTGTTGAAACCGACGGTACTGTGCGGATGTATTTTCCCCAAGTATCATTTACATGATACCCGTTTCAGATACAGGGGGCCTTAACGCTTCCAGCATTTGCGATTAAGATAAGCATCACGGAACCGCATTCGTGCGATTTGATGACGCACTTTCCAAGTCGGTCTGCGAATAAATTACGCTCCAAAGAGCCGATAAGTCACAATACCTTACAGACATATTGTAACCATGGCCAGCGTATTTGTAAGAAAAAGTACTGTGGTTTTTTGCAAAAAAACTTATGGCAAACAATGATCTAGCATGTATTATCCTGGAATGTTTCTCATGAAATTTTCATGTATTTAATCAATAATTGATTTATAAGTGTAACCCCTTATTCACAATCTTGCTTTAAGACGTAAACAGTAATCAAATTGACCAACCATGGTCGTTTATTAGAAGAATAATTGCTTGTGGTTGATTAATTTGCTTACAGCTTACGATGTCTTAAAGCATGACAAGGGGTAAGTTAAACGCGTATGTCAGACGGATCGATCTGTCGAGTCTCACAAGTCGTGAATATGACTGATTATTAATGTATAATCTAATTAAGAGTGTGCGGAGATATCGAAGTCTCAAAGTGTATTTTAAGGACTCTTCGATTTATAAAATGACATAATATACAGGATGTTATACAGCCTTTTTACAGGTGTCAATCGCATAAAAACGGCCTTTTATTGTATCCACTCTAACGGAAATATTTTGCTGAAGATATTATGAAATCGATGCAAAGTGAAATGAAAGTTATAGAAAAATTACTGAATATATATATATATATATATATTCAGTATATCATATATATATTCAGTATATCATATATATATATTCAGTATATCATGTATATATATATATATATATATATATANAATGCAATTTAATACTGAAATACAAGGAAAGTTTAAAGTATACTGTTGAGAAGTAATAAAGAAATTTTGAAATATCAGATATCTAAATTTATTGAATACAACTGAAAGTTGCGTGTCTTTTTTAAACAATTAATTTTTTACTGAAACATTGGTGAAATGATAATGAAATGGGGTCAATTGAGAGATTTTAAAATACATTTCAGCAAATTTTCGTTAAAATATTTCCATCGTTGTTAATGCGCGAAAAATTGCGAAAAATTTGTTAAAATATAAATATATACGATTGATTTATATAAATATATACGATTGACTGCTGCAACAAGGTTCTAATGTCTTTTACGTTACGTCGTTTCGTATACGGAAGTCTGTTAATCAAGATCGAGAAATGGATTGTTTTTCCGCGGAAGAGAGGCGCCGGTAAAAATTTAATCACTTCCGGCAATGATATAATTCATCTGACTCTTTGTTACTCGCTTCGCCGTAATTCCGGCGCATCTGACCCAATAATTCACGTATCAGCGATAATTCGCGTGAACGGGAAGCGATGATGTTCGCACGCACCAAGTCGATTGACGTATTATTTTTCGCGTGTCTCGACACATATGGTCCATATGTGTTACGGTAAAAAAATGATGATCGAAAGCCCCAATAAGCTGGTGACGATCGCGATGACACTGAGCTTCTTCATGAGATCGTGGGCGATATATATACGCGCGTGTGTATCGTGGGAAACGAGATCGCGTGATTAATGTATACAAAGAACTCAATTAATCCTGTTCTGTGGATTTCGCGGATTAAATAATCAATAGACATGGTGAATCGGCCGTGAAGCGGCGCACAATTAAGCGCCATAAATCAGACGAAATCCAACGAAACTGAATAAAGAGCGAAGTCAATCGTATTTATACGAGTCTCATTTTCTCAAATTCATAGCGGTACTCACGGAGGGTACGTCGTTATCTCGTCGCAGTTTCACATTTTTTTACAGCCTCTAAGATAAATTAAACAGATTCTTGCCGGCGGGAGACAAGATGCAACTGAACCAACAATTCAACGACGCTGTCAGAGGCGCCCTCTGGCGCAATACCTATCGAGCGCTCGCCGTGCGGGTCGGTACGAACGTTCAACCGTAAATTACCGACCGATCGATCGTGGTTCGAGTACAAGATACGCGTTTGAAGCGACGAATGTCACAAGAAAAATGAAAGAATAATTGATTCTAAACACGCTACAGCCTCTAAGAGTCGATCTCTGATTAACTTGATCGATCAAGTGTCAACCGTGATTGGTTCAAGGAACTTTTTCTGCCTAAAATTTACAGTCTGTATTCACCGAAATCGCAGCGATTTAGCCCCGGCCTATGCTCAATCCCGATCCTACCTGTAACGGGCGATTCCCTCGTGTTCAATCTGACGCTCCTGTTCGCACGCAGGATTCGCGCTTTTGCGAGCGAACGACGCGAGACGCGCGGAGTTGACCGCCATTCGAATGGACGAAATGGCGGGTATGACGGTCGAGACATCTGTCGAGCGCTTTCACCCTCGCGTCACGTGACTTCCGTCGTGGACAACTTCGCGACATTCTCGCGCCATTCTTGAGATTCGGCCGAAGTTTTCATTGTCTTCGAAAAATGGCAGCGAGAAATCGATCGTTTCAAGATGCGGTACGCCTGCGAATCCGCACTCATCGTGATTATTTACTGTCTCTGTGTACTTAGAGATCGGATGGTCCTGGCGTTCACGATTAATCACTCACGAGGTGAGTAATCGCGTTCATCCAAAACCACTTCATCAGAACCTGTCTTACACTGTAAAGTTACACCGTAACAATGAGAGGGAAGCGAACTCGTCGCCTGTTCATCACAGCATATTTTTCATAGCGCGAATTCGAGGGATTCGCAGCGAAGACTGTCCGAGAAAGAAACGCTCGGGTCGTGATTGAGTAAGAGGATGCTGGAACGACGATCGGTCTTCGAAGGTAAAGCACCCTCACCTAAACGGAACTAAAAATGTCGAGAAATCATCGACAATTTAAATATGATTTAGGAGCAAGATTGGAATACAGATCTATGCAGCACAAACTTCCAAAGGACGTCCTACATCCTAAGGACGTCTCTCGGATAAAATGTGCTGTATGTGAAGGTATATGGGAAATTGCGATGGAACGAGTGAATAACACAAGAGAGAGAGAGAGAGTTATACACTACTACTACTACTTATTATCCCGCATCTACACTACGCATGAACAGACATATAAAACCTGTTCGACTACTATCTTGTTAGGCTTTTAATCTTCATTTTATTGACACACCATTGTCTATTAGTATAGTTCAAAGTGCGGAGTACAGTCATTTTGCACATACAAACTATAGAACTTTTATATTAAGCAAATTTTTCTGTAAGTCGTGACAGCTACACGCACCGAACAGTGCACACATTCTACGTAGATTTTTCGAATCTTTTTTTCATCCTTAAGTTTACCGTTCACTCAGGTAGATGTGTACACTTCACCTGTGTGAAAGAGTTTTAAATTTTGTCAAGTCATCTCTCGTGGAATGGTGGAACCTGTAATATCGGTAATCACCGATCACTCCGGCAACCCCGTTGAGGAATAATTGCAACACGAAAGCTGATAACAATCGCGTCTCATTGCGACATGCCGTTGCGAGATCGGCCGCGGCATTTTCGGCGCATTCGCAGTCTCGCTCGACGCGATAGATAGGCGCGGATAAAAATGACCCCTATCGAAGCATAGTTTAAGTTAATCGACGTCGGAGGAATCGGTCCTAAATTAGGGACGGACAACTCGTGGACGCGGTGCGGCGCGGCGTGACGCGGCCACGGATCTCTCTCTCTCCTTCTCTCTCTCTTCCTCTCTTTCTCTCTCTCCGGCAAGATGCACGCGCTCCCGGCGTACATTCGCACGCTCCGTTCGGGTTCGGCGTTTCTATTCCTGGAGCGGGCCGACTCCTCGTCCGGCTCCTAACCGGAGGTGCCATGCCCCGGCTACGAGAGCGACGTGCGAGCAGTGAGCCGTAGTCTGGCCGCGCGGAGTCGAGCGAGTGTGTGCGGAAGAGCGCGGCGTGCGGAAGTAGTTTGCGAAATGTGCGTGCGCGTGCGACGAAATCAGCGTGGACGACAGGACGACGCCGACGCCGCTCGCCGACGGGGCGCAGGAGGCCGACGCACAGCCGCGTGATCGATCCGCGCGAGATCGGATCTCGTCCACCGCCGCCGCTCTTTCTCTCTCTCTCTCTCGTCCGTCGCTCTCGGTGCGGCGGAATGCCGGATCATCGTCATCGTCGTCGTCGTCGGTCGGCGAGCGATCGCGCCGCGGTTCTCCCTCGCGATTGACCTCCATCGCTCCCCGGGATCGCGTGACCACCGCGGAATGTCCGGTCGGCGGGCTACCCCTCGGCGCCGCGAAGATTCTCCTCCGGAAGAAGTTCGCAGATCTTGACTCTTGACTTGGAGCTCTGCGGGGCCGATCTCAGGTCGGCGGAGGTGACGCGGGAGTGACGAGCGCGACGAGAGGTCAGGAGGAGTGCTGCGCGAGAGAGACTCACAGTCTCGTGTGAGACGTCGATATCTCTCTCTCTCTCTCTCTCTCTGTTTCTGTCTCTCTGTCTTTCTATCCGCTCTTCGGCCTAGAACACAATACATACGTCGTATGTCGCTTTCGGATGTCGGAACGCAACCGATGGTCCAATGAGAGGATTTCAAACTCTTTTCGCGAAAACGAGCTCTCTTCATTGGACCCACAGCGACATACGACACATTGTGCTCCAGGCCTTTGAAAAACGCAGCTCGCAGCTTTCTTTCCCTCTCGCGTAAAAGTTCAGCCGTTTTTACAGGAGACCACGGAAAGTGGATGCAAATTTTCACAATGGCACAACGGGAATTACCCTCGCCGCGAAATCACAATGGTGTTCCGATTGTTCATTATCGCTTCGGATATTTTCGGACCCTTGTCTGAGGGAGAAAGAGAGAGAGACGATGTATTTACCCGCAAACGAGGCGCGCGTGCTGAAAGAGCGTGACTCGAGAAGCGCGAAGAGGCTTCTCGTTTAGCCTGAGATTACGGCAATAGCGTTGGTCTACCTTTTCACAAGAAGTCGCGAAAATACTGGGAGGCAGAGAAAGATGGAGAGAGTAAGACATAGATGGAGAAAGAGAGAGAGACAGAAAGCACGAAAGTGCTCGGTTTTTCTATTTCTGTGCGATCATTTAGGAGTTTGCGCTGAATCTCCAGCGAGCTTCGCTCTTTTTACGCTCTTTTTACGTTTACGGCGAAGTTATACGCGCAGGAGGGAAGCGGGTGAATAGATACGCGGTTGTCACTGTTTACGTCCGATCCGACGTTGTTTTCATAAGGCTAGAAAGAGAAAAAGAGAAAGAGAAGGCGAAGGGTGAGTACGAGGATAGTGGCGTCCCTCAGGACGCTCTGTATTCTCTCGCTACGCTTCTAACCGTTTGAATCTATAATTTGTTTTTGTATCATCGCAACCGTCGTACGCACATCGCGTCCGCCGAAGAAGATTCCCGAGGAACAAGAAGATCAGTTCCGTACGAATGGAGGAAGAACGCGGGGAGTCCGAAGCGCGAAGAGTCCGCCGCGATCTTTCGTAGCGCACGGGTCTTGCGTTAGAGACGTCAGACGTCTTGGTTGAGAATCATTCGTTAATTGAATCTTTTAATTAGACGATCGACGCACGAGTCATTTATTTTCCCGACGAGAAATCTCGTTGACCCGTTGCCCGCCGCGAGTGCGACATCCACCACGCGAGTGAAACGACATTCGCAGTTTGCATGATCTCCCTCTCTTTCTCTCTTTCTCGTGGCGATCAAGCCTTCATTTGCTTTCTTACCGATGAATAATATCTTTATGTATGAAATATCGGTGGGTATATTAAAGCCCACGGCGATTACATCGCGCCTGGGATCTCAAAATATCTTTAGCCGCCGCCGTGCATTATGGAGCCTGTATTGTTTACGGTGGTTTATTATTATTTCCTGTCGTCGGCGGAGTTTCCATTCCCGTGCGATATGTCAATGACGGTCCCTCCCCCCCTCTCTCGACATTTCGTTCGCTGCGCCTCGTGATCTTTACACGTCGTTTAAAAATATTTCGATATCGCGAGGTCACGCGTGAGACCCCCGCGAAATCCATGGCGAAACGGCTTGGTTACACGCGAGAAAGAGAGAGAGAGAGAGAGAAAGACAATAATTTCGACACATTGTGTTCCACTTTTATCAAGTCGTTAACGAAATCTCTCTCACGACCTTCGTGCTATAATTCAAATGATTCTAAAAAAACAGAAAAGAAAAGAAGGAAGGAGAGAAAAAACGACGAGAAGAGAAGGACGCGCCGTGAGTTCCATCATCGTCCGCGCGTAATCGCGGATCTCGATTCGCGCACGTGGGTGAGGAAGGCAGACGTGGCGTGCCGATCTAATCCCAATCGAATGACGCCCGTGCCCATGCTTTATTTCAAGCGTACGGCCTAATGCGTTTACTACAAGCGCCGGCTAATTCACAAGTCCCGGCTACGAGGAGAGATCGTGCGTCAACACGTATCGCCGTCGTTGCTCTCCGTCCGCGGCGATTGTCCGTCGCCCGCTAACGGTGATGTATCACTTCCTCTCGTCCGTCGCTCGTCCCCCTCGCGCTTTCTTCATTAATAAATATCCATCGGAGTGCTGTTACGGCTGTTGCTCGTTTCGAAGCACTGAGAATTTCGAGTACAGATACACTTAGGCCGCCACCTTGTGCGGCAGCATCGATACATATCGAGCACGTATTTTTGTATACGGACAGAAGTGGACGTGTACAAATTATCTCGGATTGATTTAGCCGCACGGGCTACACGTGTACACTTAATGACTTCTGCGAGATAAGAATCATCGTAACTTTCCCTTCGATCTCAAACAAGCCCCTCCTCTCTCTCTCTCTCTCTCTTCCTCCTTCGAGCGCCAATTTTTCTTTTTAAACTTTAATTACTTCAGCAATTCGTTCCCAACTTAAATACACCATCATCATCTAGCTTTTCTCTGACAAATTACGAAGGTAATAGAAACTTTCATATCTCGACTTTGCAAATAAATTAAGTAGTAAAAACTCTGATCTGCAAGAGGATTTTGATTTTTGATTTAAACGATTGCAAACGTCTCGCAATATTGCAGACCTTCTTCAGTGATTTAACTCTTTCTACCCTCTGCTAATTACGATAGATATGACCGTCGTTAATAAGTAGCTTCTCAATTGCATACAGCATGTATGCACGTCGTGAAAAATCGCCCGCCATTTGCGGACGTTATATTTGTACTGCACTTGGTTTGAATCTGTCGGTTAGAATTTTCTTTATTACATTATTCCGTCTCAGTGCCACACGATTGAATATTATGCCGTATACAGCGTGCACTTTTGGTTGGACCGCGCAGCAGTCGAAAGAGTTAAGGAAAAATAAGATTTACAAGGCAAGAAAGGGACACAAATCGAATATTCGCGAATAAAACACTTAAGAAAACGTCACTTCCGATCGCTACTGCTGTTTAATTACAACGCGTCTGCGATAATTGCGTAGAGGAGAAGGTGGTATTATGGTGATATTAAATATTTATTACTTAGGACGTTATTTATTTATAAAAATACAGCGATACTGCATAATGGGTCGAGAAAAAACATGGATGGTGATAATGTCGCTTCGCATTGAAATAAATTAGATACAATTTCGTTTAAAAAACACAATGTTTTGTTACAGATTCATATATTCATTCAAAACAAACTCTTGAAAAGAACCGCAATGAAATAGTGACTGAAAGGACATCGTTGTCCCCAGAAGTGACTATATTTTTCTCTGTAAAATATATTTTTCTCTGTAAAAAGTCCGCAATACCGCCTTCTCTGCCGTGTAATTTCGCTGCCGCGTTGGATCGTATCCGACGAGCTTCCCGTCACCAAAATGCTCCCCGAAAAATCGTATCCCAGGCTTTTCCGCGGGACCGCCTTGGGAATCGAGCAACTCCGTCGGAAGGTACCGGCGATTCGCGCGATACCATCGGCGCATCCCGCGGTATTCCCGCGATGGCATCTTAAAGGTACACGGATGAAAAAGCCGGAATGGCATAGTCCATACTTAATTCCATATAAAGTACGGACGATGATAAACATTCTGAGTGGGCTCGCAGGGAGCGAGAAAGGAGCGGGGCGCATTAAGGCTCGATTCACACTCGCGAGAGGCGATCGCGTGCGCGTCCCGTACGCGTTCCAGTTGCAATCCGCTGAAATATTCTCGGAGACATATCGCGAGCGAAGATACTGCACGCACGCGTGCCACATCGCAACCGCAGCGAGAATAAGCCGCACGGAGCTGGTTCGCATAGCGAAACGATTATTCGACTCATGCACTGCAAGAAACGATCGCATTCCGCGCTGAATACTCTGAATATTCACTCACGGACGATCTTCTTACCGGAGCCGCGGTATGATTTGGCGTAATGAACGATCCCTCGCAAGCGAGTCTACCGTTTCTGCGCGAAATCGCGCTCGCGACGACAAAGCGCGACGCTCTCTCTCTCTCTCTCTCTCTTTCATTTGAGTATCGCACACGTGGTTTAACAGAAATGAGTCAACGGCTCAAGAATACCGTTGTTTAGTCATCTGGGAAATTTTCTGCGGCTCGAGAGCTCGGAGAGCTTTTCGGTAATAAGACACGGCTCGAAGCTCATCTAGCATCTAGTTGCTTCCCGCGATCCGAGGTGCCCACCCGGCTTTGTAGCGTGCACTGGGAAACAGAATCCGGTTCCCGCGAGTGAACAGAGACCATATGAAAACTCGGTGACAAGAAATTATATCACCGTTGCAGAGTATTTATATGAACATGAATCCGCGCTAAAGCTCGGCTTCAGACAACCGAGAGCGATTGACTCGTGGCGAATTCGATCATCCGCACTACACCGGATCAGTGCATATAATTCTCTGTTAGTCGTAACATCCAATAAATACAGTTCTAATATTTGTCAATTTGTTCTTCACTGTTTTTTCATACATTTTAGTACCTATTAGCCAGGTGCTAATGAAAAAAATCGTTTCAAAAAGCGGAGGAAAATAATGGGAGAATTATTGTGTCTGTGAGATACATTGCGATCATTCATGGGTGAAAAATATTGCGACTAACGGAGGGCCAAAGGCCGCTACACAGCCCAGACAACACATAGTATTTATCAAAATATTTAAAAAATATAGATATTAAATATTTCATAAATATTCAAATATCCGGGAAAGTCATATATGAGAAAGATTATGGTAAATATTCAGAAATATTTGTGAAGATTATTTTTTCTAAATAATTAAAACATGGTTTCACTTAAGTGAAATCGTGTTTCTATGAAAAATTATGGAAAATCTTCCATAAAATAAAATTTTCTAAATATTGCGTGTTGTCTGAGGAATATAATAGCATAACATGACACACTTAGACGATGAAATATAATTAATATATATATTTTGCTAAACAACGCGGAAATATTGCCATAATTGCTTCACGCATAACAGCTTTCGGCACCGGTGCAGCGCGAGTGAGCGAATTCGCCGTGAGTGTGAAACCTCTTACAGGGATCTTTCTGTCCGTACAACCTAGTTTTCCTCGGGCAAAGGAAGACTCACAGTCACACCGAGGGGACTGCTTTTCCCGTGTGGATCCACCCTAAAAGCGGTAGAGCAACGCTGAGAGAAAAAGCGGGGTAAAGAAGATGAAGTCCGAAGCGCGGCGGCTCGCCCTTTTCTTCATTTTGCCCTTAGGTATTCCCATGCGGCTCCCATCGCCCCGGCCGGGTTTTTCCGTCGCCTCCTCCCCGCCCGCTGCTCCTTCTTCGCCTCGCGGCGAAGTGCAGTCGCACGCGTAAACGCTAAAATAGAATAGCGCTCGCTCGCTCGCACGTAAGTCAAATGAAATTACGGGCCTCCCAACCGTCGGGGCTTGTTTTTCGGCAACGTAACCGATCGGCGGCGCGCGTAGTAACGTGTGTAACGACATGTACACCGAGGGCTATCAAAGCGAAACGCGGTCTTTGAAGTGGCCGCGCGCTACCCTGCGCGTTAATTGCCGCGGAACTTTCGATCCGTTTCGCTTCCCGGGCCCCTCCGCCGCCGGCGACGGCGACGGCATTAATGGCACTCGGAAAAAATTATACGCGCGGACGAGACCCTTTGCGCGCGCGCACGTCGGTTATAAATAAAGCAAGCCTCCCCCCGAGCATTTCGCGGCCGAGACTTCGCGATCCGGTGCGCCTCGCCTGTAACCGCCCGGTTACCACTTGTCTCACTTATCATCCCGCGATGCTCCCCCTATCGCTCAGCCGCATCTGGAAAAAGTTTCGTCCCGACGTTGCGCGTCGTATTTACACCGCGACGGTGGCGGCGCGTTCGATGCTCATCTCCGCGAGGCCGAATAAGAGAAGCGCGACAGCGTGGATTTCCGCTTTGGGAACGACACTAACGCTCGAGTTTTAGCCTTTATTTGCGCGATCCGGATCGGCAGGAAATTGGCAGCTAATTGGTGGGACGGCGAGTCGCGCGAATTGATTAGGCTGCCGTTGAGTTTCATGCGCGCCCGTGTGGAGTTGCGCGGAAAAAGCGCGAGATCATTACGCATGCGAATTAAAGTTACGCGCGGATTATTACACCCTTGGAAGCGATTAACGTCCCGTTTCCGTCGGCGGTTCCGCGTCGATGGCTCTCGTTCGCGCGTCAACGGGCGCCTAATGGGTTAGTAAATGTCGGAACGGGAAGATTTTTACGTAAAAATTAATAAAGCGACACACTCCAATTTTCGTAAATCTCCGCACAGTCTCCCGCGGCGGGAAAGAGATAGGTAAATGTTTTAATTATCGCTCTGGAGTTTAACTTTCTAAGAACGTTACTTCTAAAAAAGTTTGTTCAAAGAGAGAGTCGCCAGCGAGAAATAATTATAATTGCAATTTGCTAGTCGATGATGAGGGAGGGAGAAATATATATATATATACTAGGTGATCCTCAAGTGTTCCAAAAGATTTTAAGGAGTGATTCTTTATCACATTAATTCAAGACGAAAAAACTTCATGTAACCATATGTCCCAAATGATGTAGTTTCGAAGATATAAAGTGTCAAATTTGAAGGAAATAAATTTCGTCTTTTCCAAAACCATTCGGATGATTTGGATGAAACCATGTTCCAAGCACATAAAGAGACTCATCTTTTCATTTTTTGTATTTGATAATCAAATAAAACGAATTTATTGATTTGCAATTATTTAAAAAAAAATGGTTTATTCTATCGAAAATAATAAAGACACTTTTTTTTACACTGAATTACCCTATTTATCATTAAAAATGCCAAGCTTGAAAAAATCAGATTGAACAAAAGAATAATGTGCAGCCCCAAAAGATGACTTAAGGACCACCCTGTATATGTAAGTGGATAGATGTAATTGCTTTTATTTCCATTCTGGGGCTTTGCCCTCTAAGAGCGCTGAAGCAAGAAATATCTTTTCAGTGTTAATCATGAAAACGTAATGTTTTTGCAAGATAAACATAAAGTATTATGCGTAAAGTATAATTCACGACCGGACGTGCGCGGCCCATACGCAGGACTCTGCATGAGAAACTATTGCTTTCGTCGCTGTTTTTCTAGCTGATACAGAGAGATAGAGAGAGAGAGAGAGATATGGTCGAGGAATATTTAGAATCCACATTTCGCTTCTCGAAGAGCTTCATTAACGTCTTCTGACGTAGGTAGTTTTCCAATGTTTTGAAGTATTTGATAATTTTGGCACGTCCGACGTTTCTCATCTCCATGGCGCAGCTGCCGCGTTAAAACATCATCGGGAGATGTCCATGTGAGCGAGCGAATGGGTCGGACGGATAGACGTGCGCGGAAACAAGTGTAAAATGTTTTATTTTCCCAAAAACATTTCAACTCGAAAATGGTTACCAGCGAGCACATCTTGGCACGGGCCCAACAGCACGCAACTTCGCTGAGTCAAAAGGGACCCTTGTACTTTCGCAACCCCCCCTGACAAAGAAGCATTCGAACGAGCGTCTCTCTCGAGTGCACATAACAATATCTCTCTCCGACGGGCGAATTACTTAAATTCCACGGGCGCGAAGTGCAGTTTCCAAGTTTAGCGACGAGCGATAATTTTGCCGGATTCACGAGCGAGCGAGCGAACGAAGCGAGAGGAGGCGGATTCGCACGGGACACGGGCGGATGTTTCACCGCGAGAATTGGTCAGCGATCGGAGAACACGGCTCTCGCACTTGATCTTGAAATTAATCGAAAGCAAACCGCGAGCGACGCGGCGTTTCCGAGTCGCTTCGGGTGCTGCAACGCGCGACGGCCCGCGGATTTGTCGGCCGGAATTAACACCGGGCCGGGTAATCGGATTTTCTTCGCGACTCGAACAAATCGTACTCTCGTTGCCGAACGAGTTTATTCGCGATGACCCACGTTGCCGGGCGAACTGCCGAAATTTTCGTGAACGGAGAGATATCTCGTCGATAAACCGTGGTGCGAATTTGTCCTATTTTTCCGTTTTCGGATAGACAGGGGTGTGTAAATTTGGTAGCAATTTCACTGGTCGATTTGTAAAGGCATCTTTTATGAGTGCTTCATATAGCTTATATTTATCACATAGAATGACATCACACGACATGAATATTACATTCATATTTATCTCATAGAATGACGAGATGGAAGCATGAGAGAAAAAAATATAAAAAATTAGTCGAAATACACGTCGTGTAAAATGTAACATGAAAATCTGAGTGCAATTTCTAGCATATTTTTCGCATCGATATGACAAAAAATTTATATTATTGTGTGATGTAAATTTAACGACCGATTTAACGGTGTTTCTATTCTTGTTACTTCTCTTTCGACTGAACATCTAAGAGTTTAATTCCACTGTAATTATCCAAATCGTAAATTTTTCACTATCGATTATACGACGTGATAATCATGAATATTTATCTGGGCTATGTTGGCGGGTGAATCGCAAAAACTCTCGCGAGCGGCAAGATAATCTCGTGATAAACGAGATGGCGGGGGTGTTTTTCCGTTGCTTCTTTTCGTCTGAATTCCCCGCTCGACAACGCACGCTTGTTTCGTCGCGATCAATTTAATTAGATTTCCGGCCGAAGTAGACGCGTGTCGACGCGCCCCGCTCGCGGATATTTTCGTGCGCTTTCCCCGAAATTTCCCGAGCGACGTGTCCATTTTTCGTCCGTCTCACGAAAGACGATGCTTCCGAGTCGCGGACGGACACGACGTCGGGCCGTCGGTAAGACTAATCACTTCCACGCTCTCTTTACTCGGTACTCTAAAGGAAAAGAGGACAAACAGTGGCGATGGGGGAAAAAAGAGCGAAAGGCAACGGCGAGGAATTTACGATGACTTTATTGGGGTATCAAACGTAAGACGAGAAGCAAAATATGCGAAAGCCCCGAGAACGAGGCGCGTCGTAAAGATTTTTCGCTCTTTGACGAACGGTTTCCGAGAATATCCCGCCGTGAAATTTGGAAAGCCGCGAAGGACTCTCGTAAACGTTCGAATGCGCGTCGAATCTCGCGGCTGCGATGTTTCGTAATTTACGTAGAAGACGCGAGAGAGGTAAGCAGCAACGAATTGCGAAGGAATCCTCCCTTTTTAGAGTATCCAAGCGCAGAACGTTGGTCGTGGTTTTCTGAAAGTTGATGTTTCTCGTTAGATTGTTCGTCGCATCGACAACCGACGGGGATGTGCGAATTCAACGAATCCGCCCGCGTCGTCGAAAACGGTAATGTCACGCGATCATTATTATGCGTCACTCGAACAACGACGTGGATTCTTACGAAAATCGCGAAACGAGTGCTAACGAGTGAGAGGAGAATGTGCGGGAAGATACGGCGAAGGATTGCCCGAAGGATCTCATCGATCGCACGCGATTGAACGATCAGCCGCGTATATACGGCGAACTTTCACGAGGGGAAACTGTTGTCGATTAGGCGGGACAAAGACTCGAAGTGAGAGAGAACGCGTCCAAGTTTTATCTCTCTCATTTTGCTCAGGAAAGATAAAGAGTGCGAGGAAGTTGGGGCTGAAGCTGTGCGCGGGAATTCGAATGCCAAAGACAAGCAGGAGTCGCCGCTTGAGAAGAACGTTCTTCCTAGCGGCACGGTAAGATAAAGACAAAACGCCAAAAGTTGTAGGCGAAAACAAAAATTACTATCAATTCGAGACTCAAATTCTCATAAACAGGGTGTCAAGGTTTCTTCCGATTTTCTTGTGCATTTATGTTAATATTGACACATTTTGCACAATTTTATCGTTTTTTACGTATTTTTGTTTTTTTTAATTGAAGAGGTTAAACTTGAAAAAAAAACAGTTTTTTTTTCATCTTCTCCCCGAAATCGCTCTAAACTTCAATCGCATTATGACAGCTAGTATGACTTGTGTCAGATAACTTGTATAAGCAAGAATATATAATGTTGTGTGAAGATAAAACTTGCTTACACATGGAGAAATTCTATATACTTCCACTGAAAAATATCGTATTTTTGTTATTCAAGAATAATTTTCATGAATAGTGAGGAAAAAATGATAAAACGATATCTTCAAATTAAGAATTGTATCAGTTTGAGGATATCATTTACTCTATATTTTATCCTCTTGATTCATGAAAATTATTCTCGAGTAACAAAAATGCGATATTTTTAATGGAATTACATAGAATTTCTTCATGTAAGAGCATGTTAAAGGCAAAGTTTACCTCCGTATAAGATTATTCTTGCTTACATATGAGAACATATGAGCCTTGAATTGTGACATTAATTTTTTCCGTGCAGATAACGGTTCGCGCTAGTAGTTCGCGGTATCGGGAAATTCGGCGAAGCAGTTTGCCAAGGAAGTGCCAAAATACAATAATCGGAATCGAAAAACGAAACCGCTGTCACGACGTATATTTTCTCGGCTGATCAAAGGAACCCGCTCTTTCTCTCTCCCTCTCTCTCTCTCTCTACCGGCGAGCACGACGACGAAGAGGAAGTGTGAGTGATACGCGGAGTGAGGCGGATTTCTCCACTTATTCCGCATCGCACGGAAAAGTCGCGCGAAACGGACGAGAGGTGCGGCCGAGATTCATGGGTGTTCCTGGAGACGTCGTGCCGAGTTCCGGATTTGCGCCGAGAGCGAGAGGGTGGACGACGACGCGGGCTGTAACGTGACCCGGGCGGATGCTCGTCGCGCGGAAACGGCGGAAGATGTAAGATCCGGTGAGGAGGAAAGCGCGGATCCCGGCAGCGCCAACCCGAGGAATCGGCCTCATCCGGTGCTGCGGCCCGGTCTCGCTCGCGCCCTTGGTGCCGTTCGGCACCAAAATGCTGGACATATTCCGCGGCCTCAAGAGCCTCATTAAGATCTCGCACATCCACACCGACAGCGCCGTCTTCCGTCTGCACTACAGTCTCACGGTGATCTTACTGATAGCGTTCTCCTTAATCGTCACTACCCGCCAATACGTCGGCAACCCCATCGACTGCATACACAGCAAGGACCTGCCGGAGGACGTGCTGAACACGTACTGCTGGATACACAGCACCTACACGATCACCGCGGCCTACCGGAAGCGGGAGGGCTCAGAGGTGCCGTTCCCCGGCGTCGATAACTCCAAGGCGTATCCCGACAGCGAGAGAAAAGAGTACAGATACTATCAGTGGGTCTGCTTCATGCTGTTTCTGCAGGTAATCGATCGACGTTTCATTTCTTCGCCCCTGCATAGAAAATTTCTTTGGGTTCCAGTCCGCGTTGATTTCCCAAAATAATGGCGCATTCCGGTTGGAAAATCCACGAAGGATTTCGCTTGGAAATATAATGTTTCAAATATACGGCTCTAAGTAGGAAACGTAAACGGAACCTATTTGCTCGTTAAGTTTTCCTAATTAGTTTAATTTCAAATGATGAAATAAAAATTAATTTTAATTGAAATTATATACCCTTTATCTATGCTGTATGTGGGAGAAAATGTGAAAGTTTCTATGCGGGGGGCTTTTATCGTTTTCAAGCTATTTTTATCCGCTTTTCTTTCCCTCCCTCCCCATCAACGTCCGCGAAAAACGTTCTCCTCCCGTTCGACGAATTCGTTATACGTTTGATGTATGTTCGAGGCACTCGAACGGCGAATTATACCCCTCGGCTGTTCACATGCGTTTCGAGCCTCGCATCCGTTGATTAGACGAATAAAACACCTCCCCTTCTGGTCCGTTTAACGTGCGGTTTCCGTGCGAGTCGTAAAATGTACAGCGATGCTTTTAGCAGTGCTCATAAGCGTCTCCTACTCGACGTTCCTAATCGTTTCGTATGCCGCGTTTCACTCGGGCAACTTACCTACACACCAGTCGCAAAGACCTATGCATCTAGTCCATTGCCAAGAGAGAAACCCTAAGCGGTAACAATGCACTAAGGTTCGTCATTGAAAGCTGACGGCACGTGCCTTCGATCAAAGATGCTCGCGCTGGCGCCGCTTTCTCGACGCTTTCAGCTCCGAAAGACTGGAAACTTTTGGATCTTCGACAGCCGGAGCAATTTCCGGTCATTCAGAAAACGCGTCGCGATACGTGGGGAAACTGATAGAACGTCATTGTGGCGTTAATTTAATTTCTACGCAGATTCCGCTGTTGGTGTCGAACAATATTGTATTTCACAGTTGGTACTTCACAGTCACGATTAAGGTACCTTTAGACATATGCATATATATACACATATATTAGGTTATATAATAAGTAGTTACGAATATCTCAGCTAAAATGAAACGATTGTATTTATATGCCGTTAAGCTTGCTTGAATCTAAATCCTTCTCTTTAAATAGAACAGGCAGTTGCTTTCGCGGAAAAACTACGTTGTAAGGAAACGTGTACAAATGCTCGTATAATCGTCTCATTGCGGCTGAAGAATCGTAAATCACATATTACACAACGAAATAATTCGAAGCGCTCACTTATGGGTTTCGGAGGCTTCCGTAATGCTCGTCACCGATGATGTCATGTGCTTCCCGACCAAACCAAATTTACGACGCGGCGCTAATATCAAGCGGTTCGTGCGGAAGGGGGTTGAGAACGGATCCTCCACCGGGAGGTGCCTTTCTTCCTCCGATGCCGACGTCGACGATACACACGGGCGGGACGTGCGGGATCGTTAATAGGAAGTTTGGACGAAGCGGGTTAATGGCGCGACCGCGCACCTGAAATAGCGATCCATAGTATTTTCCTTGTGCTCCCGCGCGTTTCTTTCATGCTACTCGCATTGATGTCTCAAAATAAACCGGCCGGCGTCGACAGGCCCCGCCCGCGCATATCCCCTTGAACCGTAGGTTCTCCCTCTATTTCCTTCTCTCCCTTCGCAGTTAACGTGTGTTTTTTCGTCCGGCATCTCAAAGCAAACGGTACAGTTTACCGCGCGCCCGCAAGCGAGTAGTCGTGCGCGCGCCGTGAACCCCTCGCCGGTGTATATCCTTTCTCCGCGCGACGTATAATCTCTTCTATAATTAACGTTGAGCTAATTTCGTTCGTCGTTTACCGGACAACAGATTTCGTCCTGTCTTCGCGCCGTCGCCTGCGCTTGTTGTCACGTCGACTGCGACCGGCTTCGTAATATCATCGCATCTTGCGTTTATAGAATACGCGTTTATAGAATAAAACGGTCTCAATTTTACTATGCTTTAGGATAAATGAGAGCGTGAGAGACGACGATTAAAAGTAATACATGATAAAGATATGGAAAGCCAGAAAAAAAAAAAAGAGAAAGGTACAAGAATAAGAATGAACAATGAAAGGAGGATAGCCGCGAGGATGAAGCATCTGCACTTTGCAGTTTTAAATCATGATTTTAACAAGCTGATTTAAATGATGCCAGCAATAGCCTTTTAAATGACGAGGGCAGCAAAGCTTATACACAAACGTGACCGACACTGCACGTGCGACAAATTAAATATACAACGGATAGAGAGCAGATGGAACGGGCTAATGCACACACATTCGTCGCGAATTGCATTTATTTACCGCATACTTGGTGGTTTCGAACTTGAGAGTTCAGCGTGAAAATAATCAGCGGAAGTCAGCGTGGTACGGTCGACGTGTGAAGCGGGAAAGAAACCGTGAATTTCCCGGAGTCGCTACTCGCACGACTGCACGACGAATAATTATCATTGCGCAACACGGGACGAGTTTTCCACCGTTCTTCCTCCGACGATCTCGCGAGCGAGAATCGCGGGATTATTTTCAAAAGCGTCTCTCGATCAAAGAAGCCGACGGCGAGGGTGACTTAATGAGCATCCCATCGGCGGGTCAATCTCGGCTCCTAATTAGAGCGCGAATATCTCATTCCAGGCCGTCTTTTTATCGCCTTCTATTTTCTCACCGGGAGGGCCGGGGAACGGGTGGTGACGACAAGAGTACAGCTTCGTGAGTGCGCCGTCCCGGCCGGCCGCGGTGTGCTTTTACACGTGATAATGGCGCGCTTAATTTCGTTGTGGAATACGCGCCGCGCTCGTAACACGCTCGATTAAGTATATTTTCGACGACGAACGATCGTCGAACCACTCCCCGCGAGCGCAATTAGGCCGATGAGCTCATCTTGCTCGCGATAATGCAACCGTCGCGTCATGTAACGTAACGAGGAAGGGTTGAAGAAAAAGAGAAAGAGAACATCGGGGGACCGAGAGTTTTCGTAGCGGAAGCTCGTCGCAAACGTTGTGAAAATTTACTCGGACAGTCGAAAATACCGTGTCGCTCACAACGAAGAAAAAAATATCGCTAGAACAGCGAGTTGTTTGTTAAAGTTTTTCCACTTTTCGAGCGCAATTTTGCCGGAGGAAGTGTACTCGCCCTCCCTTCGATCGACGAGGACGGATCGCTTTTCGAACGCGCGAATTTAACGACGCGCTCGCGTCATTAAAATTTCAGCGCAACTTGGCTCTGGCCACTTTGTAATTAACAACGCGCGAGTGTTCACTCGACACGTAGAATCGCGCGTAAAGCTATGCAGTTCGGCCGAAGAAGATTCGCTTCTTCCTCCTTGACCCTGATACGTCGGCGCGTCGTCGACACGACATGCGCACGGCGCATCGTCGCGGTGGCGTTAACTACGTTAACCTCGCGGTTCGCATAATTCAGCCGTTCCCAACGAGCAGAAACGCGCGGGATTTTACGGCGACGTTAAGCCGCAGTTATCCTTCGAGCTTCTGGCGTAACGAGGGCCGCGGGCGTCGAACGTTATTTATCGCCGCGTACACACGGGAGGTTCCGTTTTCCGGCCCGAACGCTCTATCGAGCTGCGGATGATAAACTTTGACAAACTGTCAATCGGCAACGTGTTTCCCGAACGAACACGCTGACCCGAGCGTAGCGCAGACCGCCTGCTAGATAATATAAATTGTGTGCTCAGCATCGAGGTCAAGGGATGCCCCTCAAGTCCGGCCAGTCTTCTGACAGTTCGCATCCGAGGCTCACGTGTGCGCGCGTGTTTCTCACCCGACTCCGGTTATCCGTCTTTAATTTCACCCCTCGGATCGCGCTTTTCCATTCGGGCCTCCGGAATCTGTCCGTGGATTTACGAAATCTCTCTCTTTCTCCGTCATGGATTCCCAGATTTTGTACATAAGAGGAATATGTAGCGAGAGATTCGTGCTAATCGAGGCCGGTGATAAGGGAAACGGGAGGATAGCCGCGGATGCGTGAGGGGAAATATGTAAATTACAGATCTCGCGGCGAAAAAACGGTCGGACGAAGAACGATAAACATGTTCTCGCGATTCTCGTCGTGCGGAACGCGTGTCTTTGAGAACGGAGGACTACTGCAATTATTGCAAAACATAAAGCATCTTTACGGACGAATGCCGTGAAAATGTGGGAGAAATGTGGTCGCGCGCGACAAATTACACCGAGTTGGACCGCGATTTTCCCCGCCGTGAGCGACTGATCAAGATGCAAAATGCGCGATAAAATTGCAGAGGCGACGCCGCTGAATCTGCGAAAACGACGTCCCGGGCGAGGTAGACGGAGGGACGGCGTTGGTACGCGCACTCGAGGGAGGATATAATATCATATCACACGCAAAGCGCGGCGGGAACTGAGAAGGAGGAGGGCGACGAGGTGAGGGGAGGTAAAAGACACCTCCGTCGGGAAAGCAAACAATGCGTCGAGTGATTTTTACGACGGTTTAAGCGCCCACAAAATGCACGCGGTACCACACTCTGCCTGGGCGAGTCGACCTCAACACTCGCGGGAACTACGAAGAGAGGAGTCGCACGGGCAGTCCACCTCCACGATTGCGCTCTCACGATTTGTTTCCTAGCCTATTCCAGACGCTCTGGAACGACAATCTCGAGTTAGCTTCTCTCCGACGGTCGAAATCGAAATTCGCGTCCGAGCGTAACATGCCGTTGATGATCAAGATGATCGACCTGTTCGGCTCGATTCGCTCGCTCTTCAAGGTGCATCGGATCGTCGAGGACTGCATGATATTTCGGTTGCATTATCGCGCCACCGTGGCGGTGTTGCTGGCCGGCTGCCTCATCCTCGCCTGCAAGAGCATCTCCGGCTCGCCCATACACTGCGAAGCCGCTGGCTCCGTCGACAAGGTCGTGCTGGAGACCTTCTGCTGGCTTCACACCACGTACAGCATGGTGCAAGCCTTCAACATGAGCCTCGGCCTGGCCGTGCCGTATCCCGGTGTGTCGAACAGCAAG